TTTTAGTAAATTTACCAGAAATAATTCTATTTACAGAAAAAAACATGCTGCAAATCATATCCTGTAAGCCCTGTGTTGTGTGATTTTGTTTTTTGTTCCCTTCTAATTGTCTGCAGTGATATCTGCAGTCCAAGCACCATTGCTCCTTGTGGAGAGTTAGTGTGTAGGATTGATGTCAGAAAAAAACCCAAAAACAAAATTAACTGAAAGAAAAGAAGGGAGTATGAGAAAGTACTAGGAAAAGAGAATGCAAACAATATTTTATATTCTTTTTCTTCAAACTTCACTTTCCCTTTTACCATCTTTTATTTTATTTTATTCTTATTTCTGACGTGTATGGTAAAGGTGTTATAAACTGTAATACATGCAGTTTATGAAACCTTTTCCATTATGGATATATTTCTGTTTGTTTCTTAATTGTCTCATGTGCTTCTGTTTGAAATCTTTTTCTCCCCTTTCTCTGATACTTTTTTTTCCTATGCCTAATTTTTCACAATTATTTTCCTAAATTTACAAACCTAGAATCACTTTTATTTTTCTCCTTTGACTTGGTTTCCTAATTTTCTTTCTTATCTTTGCCTACCTCTCCATTCCTTCTTTCTAGTTTTTTGCTGTTCTCCTCCTTTTCCATTTGTCTCTTCACATCTCCTGCTTTATTTTTTTCCCAAATGCTCTCTGGCCTTCAGTCTCCAAGTTATCCTTATTTGCAGTCCCTCTCTACTACTTCTTTTGCAATCTAAGCMTTTTTCCTTTATCTAGTATACAGTGGATACATTTGGAGCTCCAAATTTATTCTCTTACCAAGAAATTCAGTGGATAGCAGAGATAGAAAAGGAATTTATTACTCAGACGTGGCTTATTGTGCAGATATCTATAGGTATATATGTAAAAACTATAAAATTCTATAGATGACTCCATAATCCACTTTGTTTAGTTCTTTCCAATGACACTGTCATGTTTAATAAATCATGCAAAATGGGTGAAAATTGTTTAATTTTTTCATTCTAGTTTAATCCGAACTATTCGCATTACRCTAATTAACCTGAAGAAAGCCATTAAAGGACTGGTTGTCATGGATGCTGACCTGGAGGCTCTGGCTGGCAGTCTCCTTGTTGGAAAAGTTCCTGAGAAGTGGGCACAGCACTCATACCCAAGTCTCAAACCTTTAGGGAGCTATATTGTAGACTTGCTAGCAAGGCTCAAGTTTTTACAGGTAATGTACAAAGGGCAGTGCTGCCTTTTATATAATTTGTCTTGTATGTTAAAGAATTATTGGGAAAGACTTGATAGGCTTTGTTTAGAATTTCTAAGCAAAATTATATAGAAAATGGTCAAAGAGTATGGGATTTCTCTCTTTCTGATTATTCAGTGTATTGCTTTCCTCTTTCTAGGACTGGTATGACTCAGGGAAACCTGCTGTGTTTTGGCTGTCTGGATTCTATTTTACTCAAGCTTTCCTAACTGGAGCTATGCAAAACTATGCTAGGAAGCACAGGATCCCTATTGACCTTCTAGGATATGAATTTGAGGTACGGATAAGTTATAAATTAATATTTTATTAATCCAAGTCCTGATGTTGTGATAAGATGTAGTAAGTCCTATCTGGAAGGTTCATTTTGCAACTGACTGACTGCAGTCTGAAGAATCACATTTAATTATTTGGTAAGGCTGACAGGGTACATAATATCTGTAGAAGAGGTAGTTTCAAAGTGATTAAAAGTAATTCTATCACTGGACCCAGAACTCCACTGAAAAAAAGAGCCTATCTCAGTGTATATTTTTCTGTGCGAGTAAAGGCTGTGAGATTAAATTCTGTGTAGTTTTTATAACCTCCAATAAAGGTAATTAACAAACCCAGAGAAGTCTACCGTCTCTACAGATATATAGAGATAAATATCGAAAGGAGTTGCTATATTTTCCTCAGTTTGGATTGATCTGAAAATTAGCAATTGGCATAATAGCTCAAAAAAGCAAAGAGCTGTGCAAGTTTAATAACATGGGACACTTATTTCTTGCAGGTTATTCCTCAGSATACTGCTGATACTGCACCAGAGGACGGTGTTTATATCCATGGATTATTTTTAGATGGAGCTCGCTGGGACMGGGCCAAGTCAGTAACCAGTAACTGTTATTCTGGAAAGCTTTTTTCAGTGCTCAGACAAGATTGGTTTAAATATTTTAAGTGATACTTTTCATATTATTGAAATAACATGCCAAATTAAGTACTCTTTCATGCATGGGAAATGGGGAAGAAAAAAAACAAACAAACAAGCAAATAACAGCAAAAACAACCACTCACCAAACCACTCAGGCCACAAACAATTACTTTGTTACTTTCTCTCCCAGGGGAATGCTAACTGAGCAGCATCCCAAAGTGCTCTTTGATGCCATGCCCATCATTTGGATAAAGCCAAGTGAGTATGATTTCTCTGAAGTGTGAGCTATTCAACAGGAAATTAAAACAGTGGTTTCCTTTTTTTACTGAAGATTACTGAGGAGAACTTGTGAATGAGTTACAGAAACGGAGTGTTTTACCTCATGTGATTTAGCAGGGTTTGCTCAGGTTATTTTTAGCTGCTGTGATAGCTGTCTCTAATACTAGTAAGGTATTTTTCCCAGCTCTTGTTTTCTTTGATTGAGAGGAGTAAATCCCTGTTTTCATTTACACAAAATAAGGACTTAGTACTGCAACTGTTGCAACTTAGATGTTAGCAAATAGGCAGTGTTAAAATTGGCCACTTTTTCTGCTTGTGCACCCTCTTGAGGTTGGATTAAYGTGTTCAGACCTGCATGATTTCAGGCTTTGTACAAGTTACATGTAAGCAGTCTGGGAATACAAAGAGTTCCTGCAGAATGCAGATGACTTAAATTACAGTTAGCTTCTCTGGCACCTGGACTAGAATTCTTGTAGAACTGTGAAAAACTCATGTATAAGCTGTGTATTAATTAGGAAACTATTCAGATTTTAATGTGTCTTTGAGTATTACAAAGCTGGTAAAATCACAGGAAGGCATTGATTCCTGAAAACAAATTGTAGCTAAATTAATTTGGTTTAAGACTAAAAGAAACTTCACAAGAAAACACAAAAAGAGAAAAACAGAAAATTTTATTTGGTTGCTCTCAAAACTATTTTACATTTTTATTTAGCTTTAAAGATTTTACTGTAAATAATTAATATTTGTATGTAGGTTATGAATCTACCAATGAATCTGCTGACTCTAATGCATTATTTTGGGTTTTCTTTGAAGCTGTAAAATCAGACATAAAGGAGTCTAATGCCTATGTGTGCCCACTCTACAAGACAAGTGAGCGCAAAGGGGTCTTATCTACCACTGGGCATTCCACCAACTTCGTCATTGCTCTGAAGCTCAACACGGACCAGCCAGTCCAGCACTGGATCAAGAGAGGGGTGGCCTTGCTGTGCCAGCTGGATGACTGACTGAGGACAGTGCACATACAGATTTCACAATGTCTTGTGCTCTTTGGCTTACAGAGGAGGTGGAATTTAGTGTGTGAAAGAAACATCTGGAGGTTTCTGTGTTGTAAGAGGACATAAAAATACTTTCTGACCCTCAGTATTTTGCCTTAATTATGTATGTATTATTATTATGACCGTCTTTACAATCTATAAGCAATACAGCTAGGATTRTAGCCCTTGGTGGTATTATTAAAGTGCAAACATTTGTTTTGTGCATTAGTTGAATATCACAAAATATATTTTTGTGGAAAATGARGGTAGGCTACATTTTCTGAGAGAAACATTACAGGTAATAAACTTGATTCTGTACTTTTGTTTTCTTTTAAAATAATTTTAAAACATTACTCGAGCATTCTTTCTAGATCTCCTCGAGCAAAGAAARAACTGTTTCCATCTTGCATTCAGATACAGCCATCATCAGTTCTTTGCATGGATCCCTCCATAATATACAGTAGGAGTGACTGAAACACATGAAGGTCTCACTCCATTCCACCATCACTGTTACAGCTGGGCATCTGTGTCCCCCATTTCCCTGCTTCTTGGGCATTAAACCAGTGTAAGTCTGTCTTTCTGACTGCTTTTCCCTTTAAAAAATCTACTTTTCGGTCGCTTTTCTATTTATATTAGTGTGAAATATGATAAAGCAATCTGGAACATGTAATGATTTTAATAGAGTTTTTGCTTGGTTATTTGCTTGTCTATGTTTTTCTTAGTTGTTTTTGTTTTTCTGCTGTCTCTGCAAGAGACTCTTACTGCTTGACTCTTAAGCAAGCTCCTAACACCCCCTTCAGTTTGCTCTCCTAGGACAGCACTAAGAATTTTCTTTTCACAATGTAGTAGTGACTGCTATAGTTCTGAAATTCTTATTCCAAAAATCAAAAGTATTTTTACCAGGAAMCTGGACTTTTAATTCCTTCTTTTGTTGGCACCACTTGTCAGGTCAGACTATTAAACATAACTGACGTGTGTGAAAGAACCATGGAGAAAGTCCCAGAGTATCTTATGATTGGGTATTTATAGTGAGCTATTAATGGACATGGGCTCTGCAGAGATTGTTTACAATCCTGAAAATGTCACTTCCAACTTAATAATCTGTTCTTCAAAGGCTGAAGTGAGGTTTTCCATCKTTCAAAAGGTGAGGAAATTCAGTATACTTTCTCAATTCATAGGAAAATTAATAGCATTTTTAGGAAAATAAAGTAATCTAGACTTAAAATGTTTCTGTACTCATGCCACAGTATAATCAATTACTAACAGTTTCTCACTGTATGTGTTGCTAATATATTTCTCTTTTTTGCTACATATGTAATTACAGAACAAGGCCTTGCAGGCACACATTAGGTGGATCAGGCAACAAATTAAATGGTGCAGGTTTGCCTGGATTACTGCTGCCCAACTTTAAGATTTTTCTAGAATTATTCCAAACTTTGTAGTTGCCATGTTGACAAGTTCTTTAAATTTGCTCTGCTCATTCGTTTTGCCAAGTAATTTATTTGCTTTTGGTTTTACTTATTAATTTTATTTTACCTTGCCCTATAGTTTTTTTTTTATGTTTTGTTTTGTTTTCTTTCATTTTTTCAGGCCAAATCTCTTGAAAGACAGAAGTAGTTTTGATAAGGTAAAACAGATGAGAGGGTTGAGCCTAACAGAACATCTGAGATCTGGAATATGCCTAGAACAGCATGACTGCTTAAGCATATAAWGGTGTTGTCATTTATTTTCAATTACATGCCATTTCTCCTGATACTGACTCAGTGATTGTTTCTATTTCTATTACTCCAGATTTAACTTGAGGATTTAACATCTGCTTCTAATTAAAAAAGTAGTGTTTCCCTACAAAAGTGATCAATGTTGTGCTGATTTGCCATGAATAATTCTGTATATGTGGTTGATGGTGATTCTGATGAGGAAATCCCTACCCAACGAGCTATTCAGGAAAGCTTACAAGACAGGCACAAGACTGAAACAAGTGGCAGTGCAACAGAGCTTGAAAGGTAATAAGTTATTATTTCTATTTTGGGTGTTTTCTTRGCATTATTGTAAGCATATAGTAACCTCATTTTCCTTTGTAACTCCATGTGTTGTATTGTGCTGAGCTCATGGATACTGGAAAGTGCTAGTAGCTCACTTGTTCTGAGCTCTCCCTGAAAAAGTGTACCTGTTTCCTTGAAAATATGGAATGTAGGAAACTTTCAAATGATGTTTTGCATCRATATGTAAAAGAGTGTAAGGCTTTATGAAGAAGATAAATAGGTGGCRTAAAATTAGATTACTATGGGAGCTTCCCCTCATTTTAGCATTTAATCRTTGGCCTTTGTGTGAAAAATTCAATATTTATAGTGGTGGGAAAGACCAACAAARTAAGTCTTTTGATGTGTTAAACCCTGACAAAACTAATCTAACTTAGAGAAATCKAATATGTCATGTAAATTAGAATATTTAAATTAAGGTATAATTATATCCTGAACTTCATATGAACTTTTACTTCTCATTTTATTCTTTTAATTCAGTTTCCARTATACTGGAAGTCAAGAACATGGGGAGATCATTGCAGCAATTCGGACAGTTAAGTACAAATACACTTCACTGAGCCTACACCCCTGGAAATTGCTGAGCAATGTCTATATTTTAAGGGTTTGTTCACCTGATTTAAGTGCAGCTTTTCTTTGTATAGTCTTGGGAGGAGTAAGAAAGCTAAAACTAATATATGCAAAAGCTAACTTACTAGACAGCATCATGGTAGTGGGACAGGTTCAAGTGTTGSCCCTTTCAGAAATTCCATTGCTTGACCTCCTGAAATTAGGGAAATTATCTTTTAAAATAAGCAAGATACGTGGGTGGGATACATGACAGGGTATTAGTTGTTTGAATTCTGTCTTATGGTAAGTAATGGGATATGTGTCTGTGCTAAAATATCACAGGCCAAGAAGAGGCCTTGAAGAAGCTGGTGGGACACAGTTCTGCTTTTGAAGAAGCAGATCAGCAAGGCTGGCTTCCTGTRCATGAAGCTGCAGCACAGCTAAATAAGAACATCCTTGAAATAACTCTAAGAGGTACAAAGTCCTTCTAGTTTTCCACCAAAAAGATTTACAAAGTAGAGTTTGATGAATCATCCAACTTMAAATGTGTTCTGCTTTTCTGTATTTCAGCCTCCCGTGACATTACGTGGGAACAGACCACTCTAAAAGGAGAAACACCTCTCTTGGTGGCAGTAAGACGTTGTTTTGTGGAAAATGTCCACTTTCTCCTGCTCAATGGCTGCAATCCCAATGTTAAAAATGAAGAGGGAGATTCTCCTTTAGTTATAGGTGAATACTGTTCTTAGGGGTGGAGAGGTGAGGGAATGAGGTGAGAATATGGTTACACATTTTAGTTCTCAGTTTGATGTATTTAACTTCAATGCCTAAAACATTTTGCTATAAGGAGAAAAAAAATGTTTGTCTCAGCACTGAATGTGTCTGCCCCGGTCTGTTTTTCTCAGATGACAATTAGCTTTCTCCATGAAGTGCARAATGTCATCCTCTGCTTTCCTTGGCATCATTTCTGCAGTGGTGCCTGGTAACCAAATCCTTCTGCTTCTTCATGCTATTACTGCCCTTCATGTCTGCAGGCATAAACATTCATATTCTCTGCCCACACAGTATCTCCTTCATTGTATCAGCCTTCTCCAAAACCCATGGCAGTTGGGTTTAATTTTCAAAAATTATAGCAAACCAGTCTGATTTATCTGTACTATGTAGAGTGCAAAGCTCTGTTTGTCCCYATTTAAACATTGCTGGCATTAGTCCAAGGATGACAAGGGAAGAAGCCAGGCTGACATTCCCAGTTCATTTCTCTTTAATATTTTGTGATTTAAGAATAAGGTCCCTTTAGTAGTATGATTCTAATAGTCTCATGCCCACACTCTTTGTGTGAACGCCACTTTAATTTGATCATGCACGAGAACTGTAATTCTTGACTTGTAAAGAACCATATTTCACCAAAATGTTTTTCAGAAGTGTTCTGTTTTATTTCCTTTGCTTCCCCCAGTTTGGGCTATGATGCCTTCATTCTAACTGAATCGTAGCCAAAAAAAAAGAGAGTGTGTTCTCATAATCTAAATTCTAAAGGAGCACTCTAAGTTTCTTGGATGAATCTGTACATTTTTCTGTATTGGAAGTGTGGTTTCTTTTTCAAAACTATTCTTAAAGGAGGAGAAAAAGTCTACCAGTCATCTGTAGGACCCCTTGTCCAACTTTGTGAAATGACTGAAGCTTTAAGTCAGGGCCAACTGGTTTAAAAAAATGAAGGGAATTCCTAGATRCTTTCAAAGTGGACATGAAAATGCACCATCCCCCAAGCAGGGGATGCATGGGATTTATCTAAAGCAGCGTGTAGGTTTCAGATAATGGGGCATCACCGTTTCTGTCACAGAATGCTGTCACTGGTGTTCTAGCAGCTGTGGCACGTGAAGCTGCTCAGCCTAATCTTTCCTGCTGAAGGACACTCCATCCTGCACAGCCTGCAAGATCAAAGAAAGGAGGAGGGAAGGGTGTTGCCCAATCATTCCATCCTCTGGAGTTAATGCAAATTTCCCTTTTAAGATCCTCACTGACTTAAGAGTTCAGCTTATTAAGCTAAGAAGGCATATGAAACAGTCATTATAAGCTTTGTTTCGCATTATGTGACTGCTTATGGAGATGGCAGCTCCTGAGCTCCAAGGCCCTGGATGTGATCTCCACCTAGTGGCAAGGAAAGCCGTGTTCTGTTCCATTACCAAATGCAACAGAGAGAGAAAAAAATATATCTAGAGAAAAAGAGATTACTATTAAATTATTCCTTTGTTTGCTTAGTGCTATCCTGGAAGCAAAGAACRGACTTGTTGCTGAGCTGAACCTTTTGATGTAGGCTGGCGTTTCTCATTGTATGAATTGCCAGGAGCAGTTCTCCTGGGCTGCCACATAACAGCAGCCATAGTGCACACAATAGGATTGARTAACACCCTGTCTGATGCTGTGCTTGTTGTCCTACAGCAATCAAACATGATTCCTATAACATTGCCTCCCTGTTGCTACGGTCTGGTGCCAGAGTGAATTTGCGCTGTGTCCATGAGAGAACGGCTCTGCATGAGGCAGCCAGGCTGGGCAGGAAGGATCTGGTACAGCTTCTCCTGGAGTCTGGAGCAGATCCTGACCCCCGCAGTGGATATGGGCTCACACCCCTAGCACTGGCTGCACAGATGGGACACACAGAAATCATGGAGCTCTTACTGCAAAGAGGTGAGACTTTATTATGTAGGGCCTTACAGGAAGAGAAAGCTTCAGACACACCTTCAGAAATAGCAACAGGAATAACTCACCTTACTACAGAAAATTAAATGCCATCTGCACTGAGGATTTTTGTGATGTTATGAAGGCCTGAAAAAGTTCAAATTTTTTATTAAAATAATATATTAATATTTTGGTGAGAATTTATAATTGTTTTTAAATGCTCTATTGTTTTCTTAAATAGAAAGTAGACAGGTCACCTTAGGGAAGACCTGACATTTATTGTGGGGAATTTTACATGATGGTTCAGCAGCACTGGAACTGGATTGCATGAACTGTTTGAATACTGGGTTCTCTCACATTTGCAATTATTTTACAAAGACCAGAGAGGTGTAAAAGAATTGAAATGTATTTTATGTAAGCTAAAAAGCAATTGTTTGGACGAATAAGAATCAAACCCCTTGTTGGCCCAGTTCTAGGAGCAATTTTTACTGTCTAATTGTGTTCAAAGCACTCTGCACCTTCTTGTTCCCAGAATTACATAAACACATCTAACATCAAGGATCCAATATGAAGATTTATACACACGGTGATTTTATTTGGTGAAGAATGGAATTCAAAATGCCATGTGACTGGGGGGTTGGAGATATTAATTACAGCTGGATATCAACAGTGACTATTGTGAAAATCCTTGCTGCTTCTTCCCAGGTGCTGATGTTCTTTCACAGGCAAAGGATTGTGCTTCTATACTGTTTGAAGCAGCAGGAGGAGGAAATCCAGATTCTGTGAGTCTTTTACTAGAATATGGGGCTGATGCCAATGTACCAAAGCACTCGGGTCATTTGCCAATCCACAGAGCTGCATATAGAGGACACTATCTGTGAGTTAATATACTTAAAAATCAAGTAATAGTGACACGAGAAATACTAATTTTACTAATTTTACCTAATTCAAAACAAGCAGCAAATCTGTAGTGTTGTACAAGGAATTATTTTTGACTGTATAAATATTGTTCTGTGTCTAAATGTAAGAGACCAGTCAGGATTAAATCTTYATCATTTTAGGATGTACATCCAATCCCTATAGTATTTCCCCACTTGTCACAAGTAGTAACACTGTCCAGACTGATGCTGAGGTTCTTAGGACATCCTCATTCTCTTTGGGTCAATGTCTCTTGTCCACCCCATCACAGAAATGTGAATGTACTAAACAGGCAAATTGGGAATAAGGGTTATCCCTGTTTTAAAGAGTAAGACTGCTGGAAAATATGTATGCTAAAATCACAAATATCAAAAGAGAAACAAGAATCAGAGAATTCTTAATTTCTGTATTAATATTTTGTGTACATTGTTATATTTAAACTTTGATGTATATATGGCATTATAGATTTTATGTATTCACATTATAATATATATTCTATTAACTCCCTAATTCCTATAGGTTAAACAACAACACTGTGCTTTCAACATTCAGGAAAMGCTTCTATTGAGAAGGAATCACTAATTCCTGTTCCAAGGAATGGGTTTTTCATGAATAATAGTGTAATATATTTTATGTGTAGGTGTAAAGTCAATATCCATTGCTGGCTAACAAGTTCATTGGTTCATTGTTAGCAATTCAATTCAATGCATGCCATGGTACTGATTTGGTATATTAAGACTAKTTTAACAGTCATGATGAATTCTGAACAGAGAGAAAGTCAAAGATGAGTTAGCTGAACCAGTATGTTTAAGATTCTCAAATGCTTCTGTTTTTAATTTTTACAGAGCCCTGAAATATTTAGTTCCAGTGACTGATTTTGCTGCCATTAAAGAAAGCGGGATAAGTCCAGTTCACTCGGCAGCAGCGGGAGCACATCCTCAGTGCCTTGAGCTTCTCCTCCAGTCTGGCTTTGATGCCAATTTTATGCTGGCTCAGAGAGTTCGCAAAGGCTACGACGACCACAGGAAATCAGCGCTGTACTTCGCCGTTTCCAACGGGGACATCTGCTCCACGCAGCTGCTGCTGAACGCCGGAGCCCTGGCAAACCAAGATCCCATCAACTGCCTCCAAATCGCCTTGAGAATGGGCAACTACGAGCTAATGAACCTGCTGCTCCGCCACGGGGCCAATGTCAACTACTTCTGCCGTGTGAACACCACGCATTTCCCCTCAGCCCTGCAGTACGCCCTCAAAGACGAGGTGATGCTGAGGATGCTGCTCAACTACGGCTACGATGTGCACCGCTGCTTCGACTGCCCGCGGGCCAGCGGCTCCCACTCGCAGTACGTGACCGACGGCTGGACCTCCACTGTCATCAAAGACACCATGGTACGTGTGGCACACGGCTTCCTGTGCTCTTCTGCTACCAGTCCTTCCTCCAACTAAACTAAAAGGTGCTTAGTGTAGCGTCAGAAAAGGTTTTGAAGAGTTTACACAAAGAGAGGAACAGACAAARCTTTAAAATTTAATAGGTGTTGTGAAGCCTGGTTCACGACAGCAAATCATTGTAAACAGTGATTTGGAATTGTGAAAATATAGCTGATGCCATGCTAATGATCAGTATGGAATTGGCTCTCCAGGGCAGTCTTGTCCATGCTGTGAAAGCAGGGATTTGCAAGCTGGCTCTGCATTGTTCTGTACCAGAAACCAACACTGCAAAGCTATTGTAAGGACCCCTGGAGTTGGTGGGATAAGCACTGAGCAGAAATTAGCAAATCTAAAGAGGTTCCTAGAGACATCCATCAATGTCATTGTTTTGCAGTTGTAAAGTCCATTTGAACCTAATAAACCCTTCTTTACCTAAAGATAAGGGGATGATGCATGCACTAGGCTGGTGGATTCCCCTATTAAGCACCTGGGACACAAGTCTAAATTCTACTTAGAGAATAGWAGCACTCCTTTTTAAGCACCCAGTTACCAAATATACAGCTGCATAAGTTTATTTTTGGATCGGGTACAAAACAATCGTCTTTCGGATTTTTAGATTCTAATAGTGAGGTGTATGCAAGCTGTGGCAACYTCTAAAACCCCATATCTAATGAAACATTCATTCTTCCTTGGATTCTGCCCCAGTTAGTTAACTGTTCTTGTCCTCAGAGACTGAAGTAATTTTAGTATTAACTATTACCTCACTTAATGTTTTGTTTCTCTCAGTTCTGTGAAGTGATAACCTTGTCCTGGCTGAAGCACGTGTCTGGGAAAGTAGTGCGAGTCATGTTAGATTACRTCGATCACATTAAGATCTGCTGCAAGCTCGAAGCAGTTCTCAAAGAACAGGAACTCTGGCCAGACATCAATTCAATTTTAAGTAAGTATCTGCTTCCATTTTTAATGAAAACAAGGTGGCTTGGCAAGGGGATGTTTTTGGTTGGTAGCATTGTAATTTTYCTTCTCCTTTCTAGCAAACCCTCGCTCTCTGAAGCACCTTTGCCGGCTGAAGATCCGGGCGTGCATGGGCCGGCTGCGTCTCCGCTGTCCTGTCTTCATGACCTTCCTTCCACTGCCAAAGTGCTTGAAAGACTACATACTGTACAAGGAATACGATCTTTATGGACAGGAAAACTTCACAGGGATCTACAACCTCAACTGTGCATAAGTATTACTCTTGTACTTCGAAGGGAACGTTAACGTGAATAAGACTGTTGTGCTTTTTTCTTTTGGGATTTTCTCTCCTCTGTATATTAAGTAATGCCAACGTTTTCATCTCACCCCCCGAAGAAAATGGCAAGAACTCGAAAATGTAAGTATTGGTGATCCTGTTCTATGGCTATCCTAAAATGTGACCTAGCTGAAATTTACAGCAACAGTATTTTAAATGCCTAGTGTGACAAGATAAGGAAGTGTAAAACGCAGGGCTGCAAMTCTTGTGTTATGGCTAAGTTAAAAGCTGTCATATCAGATACCACTAACCCTATTCCAAGGTTAAACTCAGGGCTTAGTTAAAGGACAGGGATTTGATTAAAACGAAGAAGGGATGTAGTTCTTTTTTCTCCTGTTACTCCCTTCTCTTGACAAATAGTTTTTATTTGTGAAGTCCTACAGTGAAGTTCTGAGGAGCAGCTTAAGTAATTTTTTTTCACCCAATAAAGTAATCCCCCATTCTAGGCAATGAAATGGGATTAAGCTTTAGAACCCTCYGCTTATCTCAGCAGCTCATGTGACATACCAATGTTTCAACAAGGTGGCACTGCTGAAAGACCTGTTAGGTCTGCAGCTCCTTCTSTATGTCCCATCCACCACGGACTTTTGATTATTCTCTCTAGAACTGGATTTTCTTTTTACAATGCTGTCCCAAAGCCATGCTTGCAATTTTTTGAGCTTCTCTCTATAGAGGTGGAGCATAAAGTTTTTGGAGCCCTGCCATTTTAGGAAGTGTTACAGAAGTCTTAGAAAGACCTACACTATGCCTGTTACTTTTAAAAATACAGCAAATGTCAGTACCTATGTTAGAAGAAAAAGAAGTTCATCACCACATTTGGCATTAGTAGCATTTATTCCTTCATAATCAAGTAAGCATAGATTTTTTTTTTTATAGTTATACATGCATCTTTATCATGGAAGTTACAGAATTCAAAAGTCTGCTTTTCCCCAGAAAAATCTACAAACCTTATAAAATACAAATTTAACCATAATGTGGTTATGGCCCATGGTTTTTTACATGGTGTTTATCACATAATTAACTTAGCCTGTGATATGTCCAGTACCTGTGGTCAGGGTTSTGCTGGTAGAGCCTCAGCACTGGGCTTGTTCCCTGAACCGTGGCTCTGCAGAGCCCTCACTGTCCTGTGTCACTGCACCACCACGGGCCCTGCCCAGCCAGCTGCCACAGCTCCTGTTYACCCTCAGGCTTTGATTGTTGCAAAAATAAGTTATCAGCATTCCCAAGTATAACAACTTCCTCTGAGGTTATCTGGCTAATACTATAAAAGTTAAGAGGACTGAGCTACACTTGACAACAGAGGGCTGGCTATAAACRCATGTTAGACCTTTGTTTAATGCAAGGGAACACATTTTGTCACCAATAATGGTATTTCCTGAAAGTATGATGAAGAATGCAGAAGGCTTTTGCATCAGTACAAGTCCCACCCAGATAGTTACTATAGTTAAGCTTTTATTTAGTATACAAAATGCTGACTGGAGCCCTGGCACAATAGGGTTACTATCCATGTTTCCAAGATTRAGACACAACAGAGTTGACATAAATATGCCATTGGTGGTTTTTAATACAGCTATTYAGGGAAAATGTGCAAGTCAGTCTCAAACATTGCAAAAATCACTTACACTTCACCAGAACAGGACCAATCCAGAACACCATCATTAGAATTTGATCACTCCACTGTATTATAAAAACGACCAGAAAGATTGTACAAAATCCTCGGCTTGCAATATAAACTTCATTAGGAATACAAGTGCATTCACAATGACACATTGACTTACTCTTGTCGTGACAACTTAGATACCACTGTGGCAGGGAAACAAATGTCAACTTAGTACTTAATTAAAACAAAAAGCCTTGGGGACCAATTAACTTGCAAGTATTTTTGTAATAGAGAACAAGAGAAAGAATATAAAGTATCAGCTTTTGCTGTTACACTAGACGATATCTCTACTAAATTCACTTAAGCAGTGGCAGTTTTCTTTCTCTAGGTGAACTATTTCCTAAATAATAAGAGACTATATTGTAGCATAGTTTTCACCACTGGCTTGTCCCAAATGCTGTGCAAYTAATTAATCTTAACCTTAAACATAGATAGAATTCAACTTAAACAGGCAAATTTATTTCTTTATATCCATGTACATCAGTTACAGTTTCATAAATAGCTTCAGCTGTTTCATGATTTTCAGCTCTRGGTTTACATCTATGTAAAGAGGTAATCTGACAGCTCTCTAGAAGGGAAATGTTTCTTAACTCTGAAATATTACTTTACTGTTCGACAGTAAATTGTCAACAGTACAATTTCAAACCTAAACAGATTAAGGAAGTAAGACTATGGCATTCAAATGACTTTTCACTAGCTGATCATACCCAGTTAGATATGTTTAAGTTGCACATGACTTTGACCTTGTCCTCGGGTTCAGACTTGGCCAAATGTGGCAATGGCCACAGAGGAGTGCCAGCTATCATCTGTAATGCAATAAAATGCTTACCCATAAGCACATCTGATATATTTTTATATTCATGCCATTACATACATAAAGAATGTATGTAGCTTGAAACAACTGACAGCAAGACTGGCTTGGTCTGCAGTGTGTAAATCTTCACAGTGTAACAAGCTTCATATCCTCTTATCTAAGGGATAAAAGTGTGGCAATCATTATGAGGCTGTAATTAGCAACACAGCAGTTAGTCCTGAACAACACTGCCAATTCAGTACCTACATGAAGTCACTTCAGTATTATGGACTTGAAATAATTATTTCAGTCACTCACTTTCAGGAGTGACTGAAATCATAGYAGATGTACATGAAGCAAACTACAGCTTCAGCTGAAAGTGCTTGAAAGATCAGTTTGTGAATACAAAGTCAATAGGAAATAATAAACAGGAGAGTTTATTTAATCCCCTGTAATTTAGGAGAGGAAATCAACTAGTAATTTAGTTACAATAATAAAATACTCAGGTGGTGAAATCCTACTGCAGCAGARCATGAGGTGTTCCCACTAAAAGTCATACTCTCAATGAAAATACCAAGGGTTCTGATTTTTGTTTTAATTAACAAAACTGTTTTCTAATGAAGGAGTTCTAAACCATATAGGGTAAAAAGTACCAAATAACTTTTCTTTTTGGGAGGAAGGGCATGGATAAAACCTCAGCAGCTATTTTTGCCTTCAGAGAGTTCTAATTGCACCCTGTGTGATCCTCCCCTTAGGCAAAGCTCAGCAATTCTCACCCCCTGCCAACTCAATCACMATTCCAGTCTGACTTCCTCAGCTTTGCTGACTCGACCTTTGCTCTTACAGCTTTCATTAGCCCAGATGCTTTTCTACCTTCTTGCTCATTTTACACTAATGAAACTCCCCTAAATAAGCAAAAAACCAACCCCTACATTTCATTCATGCGTATCAATAATTTAGTGGTTAAGATGAGAATCATCCAACATTAAGTGAAATGCACYTCCCTCCTACTCTGTTTTAGAAAGCTACATATATTGGCATAGATGGGAAACCTGAAAAGCAAATGGAATAATTCCAATATTTATTGCTAAATGAAAAAAATCCCATATGACAGTAAATTCCCTTGCCAACTTCACTAGCCTTTCTTCCTCATCTTTGCAGATTCATATCTAAAATAGTAATGATAGGTTTTGAGAAAAATACAGTAATTCCATTTTCTGATATTTCTTCAATAAGGCTAATGCAAAACAGGCTGCAGATGAGAAATGCYTTTTCATGAGAGTGCTTGTCTATTATCTGTCTTCCCTCTGGAGCCTGGGCTACTGCAGCCCCGGTGCTTTACACAATCAGTCCTTCTCTGACAAGCTGAGGACTGGATTCTAGACACTGGAGATCACTGATTTCAGACTTCCTGTGCTGTTTCAAAACTGCTTCAKCCTCAGTGAGTAAGATCCTCACTCCAGAAAGATGTAAGACACAGTAACCTTGAGCTACCCTGTGGCATTATTTGATAGAAAACAAAGTATCAGAAAATAAAAAACAAACACAAACATGAACTGGAACAATTTACAAAGACAGTCTGCCTTGCCACTCCCTGTAAGCCTTGATTTAAACACAARAAGGGAAAAAACCAGATTTGCTGCCTCTCTGTACATTTTTGCTGGCAAGAGTAAAAATAGTCTCTTAAAAATGGAAGCGGAGAATGGAGGCCTAGATATGAAATAAAAATGCCACTGTCTTTTAAAAAACGCCTCAGGTTGGTTGGTGGTCCATTGGCAGTGTGCCAGCCAAATCTGGCCACAGGGCAATTCTATTGGACTTAAYTGGGCAACAGCAAAAGCAGATATTTCTACAAGTGACTGGCTACTCTGGGGATGAAAAATGCACTAGAACAGGACCCGGTAACTAACTCAGGAAGAGAACCTGGGGSCTCTCTCCTCCTCAGCCTTTCCCTCCTCCTGTTGGTGGCTGCTCAAGCCCCTGCCCGGCTCTGGTGCAACTTCTGCCCAGAGCTGCCTGTGCTGGTCCTGGCCAGGGCTGKGAGGGCAGGCACTGCTGCCCTTCCCTTCTGTCACAGGAGCTGAGGCCAGAACTCTGCACACAAAGTGACATCTCCAGCACCAAGGGCAGGAGGAGGATGCTGGCTTYAGCCAGGGCAGGGCACTCCCATGGGTTAGAAGAGCCCTCTGTCACCTACAGCCATCCAGCAGACACCACCTGAGATTCCTCACTTACTTTATCAAGCACTGAGCAACTCCAGCTACGAGGGGCTGGGCCATCACCAGCTGCTGAGGAGATACTCTCAAAATTGCTTCCATTCCTGAACACCAGAAATGCCCTGCAATGAACTGAAAATCACTCATAACTGTTATATTATAACTTGGAATATAAGTATATTCTTTTCTCTTTACATATCCTGTTATTTTCATGCCACTATTAGAAAGCTATCTTCTGTTCCACTGGATTTTAATATTTATAGTAATTAGTGCAAAAATAAATATTTCTCTTCAAACAAGATTTCTCTTCTGGATCAAAAGGTGAATGGACATCTAATACTATACAAAATAAATATTACACAGGATATGGAATATGGAGTGCAGATTACAAACTGTAAACAGACACCACTTTGAAAAATGCTTTCCAGRATTAACTCTAGGATGTAGAATTAGTATCATCTCTTACTTCAGAAYTCTGTTCTGAAAATTCTGTTCTGTAAATTCTGTTTGCAAAATCATTTTCCATAAAAAGACTAAAGAGCCTCAACTTACTTTCAGTAGATGAAGTGTACTGGCAGCAAGGCTTTATCTATGCAGAAAAYTTTTTCATATGATGGAATTTATGATGTTCCTGCAACTCTAAGCACGTTTTATAAAAATGAAATCAAAGGTTTACAGCTTTTTATTCCAAGTACTGGGGAAAAACCAAGAACATGGCACTTGTGCTACGAGGCTATATACATTACTCTTATCATTTGATGAGGAATGCTTTTCCTCATGCAACAAAGTTCAACTGCATCTCATCAGCTATTCTCTAGGTCTGACAGTATCTTTTTCTCCTGTTGAAAGAAGTTTTTCATCATTGTATTCACCAAAAAAAAAAAAAATCAAGACAGTATCATACAGTGCAAAGTGAAACAAAAAAGATCCTTCTGCTTAGAACTATTGTACATCTCATTGATGTTAATGAGGATCCTTCTTTCTAAATCTAAGAACAAGTATGTGCAACAAATTGGGTAAAGCTTAGCACTGTCTTATTTGGACATCCACTTTTGTTTCCAGCAAGGTGTTCTCCACAGTGCACTGTAAAGAACGAATTGCAGTGTTACTGCTGAAGCCCAAGGAATTTTCAGTTTTGCTTCCAAAGCAGTCAATTGCACAGAGGTAAGTGGGGATAACCCCCACATTTTTTTCCCATACTGCAGAGAAGCCTTGAGAAAATAGGTTTGTAGTAAACATGGCAGCATCACCATGCTTATCTGGCATACAAGAGAAATTATACTGACAGGAAATGGAAATCACTTAACTGAGAAAGAAAAATCAAGGCATAATAGGGTCTACATATTGTGAAGTCTTTTCTATAACATGACAGACCCTCCACCTCTTGTAGAACTTGTGCCATATCACCAGATATATCCATGATTGCAATTTCAATGAAGCAGGCAACCTYAGGCTTCAGATTCTCTCTTCTTCTTTCCCTCTTCTCCTAAATCACTGTCTTCTGACTGGCTGCTGCTAAGGACCATGAACTGTCCCTCTGCGCTGCTCTGGTTGGATCTGCTGGAAGCTGCTATCAACCGGCTCTGCTCCTCCAAGTCCTAAGGGAAAGGGGGTTGGAAATCAGAAAAAGCTTATTCCATTAACATGACTTCCAAATGATCTATCAATACTATCAGTGGACAGCCTTCTGCACAAAGGGAATTAAAAGACCAAAAGAATCRATCTTTTAGAGGTCTTCTCTAAACAATTCTATGATTCTTCAGCCCCTCCCCTCATTGTGTGACCAAAGCCCCATCAACAACTGAAATTATTTTTGGCCTGTGATAAGTGTTCTTTCAAGCACTGCTCTTAAGTAACCCTCTAAGGATATTTTGTCATTTATCTTCTCTTTTTAAAAACTACTATACAAAATATACGAAACCTGCTCAGGAAACACTTTTAATAATTAACTTCGTAATAATCTATAAACTCACACCACAGAGTATGATAGTGGAGTTTGGAGGACAAAACTGCAAAAAAGAGTAAGTAGAAAAAAATTAATATTAAGAAATAATGATGAAASGTACCTTTTCAATTTGCTTTTGTTTATTCAGTTCTTTTTGCTGTTTCTCTTTGACTCTATCTATTTCTTTCTGCTTTTCTGAGGCYTTTCGATCCTAAAGGGCAAAAATGTAAATACAGTCAGTAAGACCAGCCAGAGATGTTTGATACACTGCTGAGTGATACAAGCTGTATYAAGTCTGTGACATCACTGTTTTGACTGTTCTGCTCTTAAAGGACTGGTATGGTTGTTAAAAGTAGCAAAATGAATCCTACATTGAATATTGTTCTACGGGAGATACTGGTCAGTCTTTTTATTTGAATTTAAATTGAAATTCTAGRAAAAAAAAYCTTAAAATACACAACAGTATTACTGCATCCACAAGCACCTTGCAGAATACATTCTATTACACATATTAAATATRCAYCCTTCCTTCCATTCTCAAGTATCCCTTGCCCCAAAAAGATTCTTACCAGTTCTGCATGAAAAGCTATCTGTTTGGCCAGTCCAACAGAGTCACAAATCTAAACACAAAACAGATAGGAAATAATTAAAAATGTCTTTAAATTTAAGCCAGCATCCCCTATTAGATATAATAGCATATTAAAACACCTGCAGGTCCTTAAACTGACAGGTTTAACTGTTTTTCAGTACATAAACAAAAAAATCCCTTAGACAGCTTGAATGGATCTTGKAATCCAGATGCACAACTGATACAAGTTACAACCATCACCAATACCTTTTCCCCTTCATTATTTGATTCAAATATATAGCAGATGGAAGTCTGGTGGCTCTCCACTCTCCCTCCTGAGGTTCTAAGCACAAATCCAAACAGGCGCTTGTTCTCCTGGTGTGTAGCATACAGAACTACATTGGGCAAAGGAAACTGCCAAAAGGACCAAATATGGACACATTAAAACTGGCTCCAAATCATTTTCTACACGAGGTTTCAATACACTGCACATGAATTAATGCACAACCACAGCACAAGATCTGATTAAACATATAATTGTGAAACACAGATTAAATCAAATCAGACAGCAAGGATTAAATTATTCCAAAGATGAGCAAACATGAAAAAACATATTCCATTGTAAGAAAAGGGACCACATTTGCAGTGAGTCAGTTGTCTTCCTAAATATGGATACACTCCTTTTTTATTTTGTTTTAATCATTCATTATAGTTACATTTGTGACTAAGCTTTCAACATTTAGTTCCATCTAAAGGCACTACTTCTCAAAAACCTTAACTGCAATTAGCTCTCCTGAATTATACAAGCAAGAAAAATAAAACCCCAACCCATACAAACCACACACCCTCATTAGTTTGTTAAAACTGCTTTGCATTCTTWTCCCTAAAAGAGTTTGGAATTCAAATTATCTTTTTAAGACTTATCAAAAGATAASTTTTAAAATTCTGAGAGCCCCTACTACAGCTGTTATAAACTGATAGGATATTTTTCCTAGGATTAGATGTTTGCATTTAGCATATGGGACACAGCCTCAGTTCATCTATCTCACCTGCACAAGGTTACAGCTTGGAGCACTTTGGAACTTTATGTCAAGTTTTAAATATCATGACATTTTTTCATGCTCAAGATTTCCTTTTATGGAAAGGAAARGAATTCAGAGCCTCCAAAAATTTGAATGTTTTTAAAAACACAAAGAAATTAAATGGAAGACCACAAACTATGCATAAAAAGGGGGAGAGGGAATAGTTTTGAAATATGACTAATAAAGACTGCTATTACTGAAGAATTAAGCTGGCCTTATTTGATATACTAACGAGAATTCCACTTACTTCAAGTACATTTTTAATAAAGAATTAGAAAAACAAGAAATCAAACCAGAAACCATTCTATACCCTCAAGGCAATTATGCATTAAAAACAAACCCCCAAAACAAAACAAAAAACCAAGCAGCAAACAAACCCTCTTCGATTTCAGAACCAATGAGACTCCATGAATATTCTCTCTCTTATATTTTACTCTCTCAAATCACAGGAGGAGGAGAGTCTCAAAAGCCGATTTGGCYTATTGAAATCACTCCCCTAAACCTGATTTGCAAGTGTTTCTAAATGTCTGCATAGGTCTCCTAATTTTAGTGGTAGACTGGCTAGAAAGCTCATGCTATCAGTGATTTTTGCTAACATCCAATAATAATAATTTTAAAATAAAATAATTACATTGCTGTATAATTATCTTAAAATAGAAAGTTACTTACTCGTAGTCTTGTAACTTGTGTCTGTGGATCAATTAACCTAAAAATTTGTTTTTAAAGACAAACCAGAAAGTAAATTTTACCAAATGAAAGAAGATCATTCTTTAAATAAACAACAGTAAAAGTCAGGAAGGAAACTTACTTTAAACAGTCACAAGTGACTAACAAGTGTGATTCTGTCATCCTGAACACGTTATGGATGGCGCGAGCAGCGAGTATTTGACGCATTGTTTCATAAACAACATCTGGGCTTTCATCAGACTTCACCTCCATAGAGCCAAGAAATCTTACAATAAATAACTGATGAAGGATTGAATCTAAGGAAAAAGGAAAGTATTGAAAAAAGTCAACTCCATTTTGGGTCTCCCATTTAAAACCTGGACTGTAGTCAGGAAAACTCTAAACTCCTCCTAACCTGGGAAGAGAATGCTCCTACTTAGCAATCAGAGGTGCAGTTATTACACAGCATGTCACACATCTTTTCATTTAGTTAAAGAATACAAAAGATGCAATGAATCATTCTKACAACAGATTTTCAGACAGTAGTTTGATTTAACATATCAAATACATTACAATGTAATTAAGCATTTTAAAACTGGCRTTACATTAGAAGAGAGAAGTACAGATGAAAACAAATATAATTTTCAAATTCTACTTTTATTTTGCATTGAAATAAAATTGTTGTTTTACCTTCTGTTTCAGGTTTTGAGCCTCCWGATTCACCAAAAGGATTTGTGCGTCTATTAAAAAATGAAAACATTAAACCAGGAGTCAGATTCCAGGAACCATTCATGGATAATGCAGTAGTCGCATGCTGCATTGACTACCAACATAATAATGAGTTCACAAACTTGTAATCTGGAGGAATAATGTGTCATGAATCCTAAGGAGAAGCAATTTAATCAGGAGTGAGACATAAATCGGTGTATTTGAGGGCCCATTATGATATTTTGGGAAAAAAACCCAGATATTATTGTCCTATTGCTACCATAGAAAGTTTTGCTCACATTTTCTTTTTTTTTTTTTTTTATATTTGAATTAAGCCCAGCCCAAAATCTTGTTTATGTTTGAAAAGGTATAGTTTTAGGGGATGAAATTTCAAAGAACAGCTTCAGGAAGCACAGCCAAAAGCCAGGCCCTTTCAGTACTCCATAGGAGCACCCACTTCTCATCACTCTCAAGGTGTTACTTACTCAAGAGAAGCCCCTGGGTTTGTTTCAAATGCAGCTTTCTCAAAACATCACTGGGGTTTTACTCCTAGAGGGTCAAGAGAAATGTGGCTATTTCTGGCTCTCACAGACAGAATTACTATCAGTTACAAAGAAAAGTGAAAATACTCTAGGCTTCCAAGTCTGCATTTTTCAGAAATAGTAAAGTAATGAGCACAGCAAAYGGGGACATTTTATTTAAAATTTGTRAAGAGGAAATCACCCTTTCTCTTTGGCTGATAGACGAAAAGCTMTTGGCAAGGGTTCAATATACTTCAAATTAGGATTTTTATGGGATTAACAAAAGTGTCACCTCAACAGTTAAGTGTTCTAAAAGTTCAGAATGATGAGAAAAAAACTGTTCAGTTACACATCAGATTGAGTGCCAGGTTTGTTTTATCAGTTATCAAAAGAGATGTCTGGTTTAAGGTAATAAAATTTTTCCAGATTGAACTCTGAAGTCAAGATGGCATTGCTACAGCATTTAGAGAACATGGATTCAATCAAGAACCATCCCATTAAATGCTGACCTGTTTAAGTACAGTAAAGGCAATTTTTTTCTACTAGTATCTTCTATTGTTCAGACTTTTCTTGTCATTTAATATTAAACTGGAACAGKAAATGCAAAATCCCACAGGATCTCTCAAAAGGCAAAAATAATATTTAAATATATGTCATCAGYGTCAGAAACCAAGGAAAGCATGTTACCTCTCTGGACAAACACTGCAGTTTTTTATTGAAGGTGATGGTTAATTGAAACTACTGAGCACAACTCTATTAACTCTGCCATGAAAAGYATTATTTTCTGGACTAGAATTATTACTGATGACATCACAGAATATTCTGAGTTGGAAGGGACCSCCAGGGATCATTGAGTCCAACTCTGGAGTGAATGGCCCATACAGGGATTGAATCCACAGCCTTGGTGTTACTGGCACCCTGCTCTGATCAGTTGAGCTAGGTCAGGCTACAACAGGAATTGAGCTAAGTCTTAAACTTTCCACTTCTTGGAAAGTTTAAGTTCAGGTCTATTTTAGCTCAGTATATTCTGAAGGATCTAGCTGGCCATCTGCTTGTCCTGCTATACCAAATAAAAAAAAGAAAACTGTCAATAAAAAACCTCGAATATAAGTTTAACTCTTACATCTGTGAGATGCAATTCAAAATTCAAGTATTTTCTTAGAAGGGAAGGGAAAATAACACATTTTTGGGATAAGAGTCACATAAGTTAGTTTTAACTTCTTTGGCTGTTTTTGTTGTTCTTAAGAGCAGCTGGATCTGCAAATACATTTTCTTAATATCTGAATCGTATAAAGTTCCAGAAATGCAATGATGATTTAYAGGTCTTTAGTTTTTAGTACATCTCCCACTCAAATATAATAAGTAGGAGAAATGTTTTTATGTTTTGGGATGAACTCTTAGATGATTTTAACTTGTCTTTATGTGAAATTACTCTAGAAGCCTAGATCATTTTCACTCACCTTTCAGCTTAAGAGGAGTGTCATCGTATGCCATCATCACCTGGAGGCAGGGCTACCAAATTTCTCTTGAGTTTCCAAGAGGAAATAACCCAAGCTGCTGGGTGAGCAAGCAATAGGAAAGGAAAATACTTTGTGAAACCAAAAGTTTAAAATAAATCAATAAATAAAAGCATTGGCTGTTAAAGCAAGAAAAGCTGCTGCAAAATAGAAAACTGCACCTTGACTCTAGTGATGTAATGAAGCCTTTTTTTTTCAATTCCATTTAACAGGTAAACAAATTGTTTTGTTTCACTGGCCACTGCAAAATTTGTGACATCAGTCAGGGAAAAGGCAATGTGTATGTTGGAGCTGCAGCTTAAATGTGGTTTTCTGGTTTGCTTGTTTTTGAATCAGTAACATTAACCTTAGGGATTTTTTCCTTTTCTCTACATTTCCTACCTGCCCGATTGCCCTGAAGATTTTGCCTGGCCAGGCAGATCTTCACTAACTGGAGATATTATGTCAAATTGGATGGGAGTGTCAGGGGCAACAAGTGAATCCAAGGAAAGTGCTGAGAGAGCTGCTGAGTCAGATCCCAGTGAYCCTGTGCTGCTGGTACGAGTTGCAGGAGGACGAGATTGTCTGCAACAAAACCAAAAAGGCAGAATTAGGGTATGTGAGTTCAGGTGGGTTCATAATAAATTAAACCATAGAGGATACAAGATTGCACAACTTAGATCTCAAAAAAAGCAAAACCTAAAAACATGCAGATCAGGGTATAGAAAACAAGTAGAGTTTATGTATCTAGTCAAATTTAAGTAACTACTTTAATTAATAATTGCATCAGGTTGTTTTAATGTCAATGTATTATCATTCATTAATGTCAATGTATTATCAATGTATATCAAGCAATCTGAGATCTGCTTCCAGGAGTTGGACACACGAAGAAAAATCCCATTATGAAGTCACATAACAAAACAGACATTATTTATTCCCCCTGGAACTTTATCCAGGGTTCTCTTTTTATGTGTACACTTCAAGTGCTCTCTAGTTGCTTCACTTACACAGCTGGTCTYATGCTCTCATGCCTCTGCTGAAAGGAAGGAGAAGGAGTCACAGCCTCCAGAGCTGACTGGTTCACACGGGCAGCAATTTCCTGCAGCAGAGATGGGAAAAAATAACTGAAAAAAATGCTCTCAAAATAAATGTTCAGGTTTTAGTTTTATTTACATGCAGTTGGGAGAAGTTATAAACTCAACCCTTCATGAGAATCTTGCAKTCTTAAATTTTCACTAACCCATCTGTACCATTTTCCTCTGATTTTTCTTCTAACACATAACTTGATGTAACTTTCTCAATTCAAGTGAAGACACAGCTTTACAAGACTGCCARTGTTAATAAGAGACAGCAACAGAGAAAAGTTCCAATGATAGATCTGGCAAAACAAGCAAATGTAGCCAGGAAAAAAAAGAAAAACTTCATTTGAGAAATGCAGCCCTTAACTATGAACTAAAACCTGTGAAGATACACTTCATATACAGACACATGCTCTGTTATAAAACCATTTTGACTGAGCCAATTCCCCAAATTTAGCAAGGAAAAATCATCCAACAAGTAAAAATACAGATTTACTGTATAAATATAAACGTAAACATATTACTGATAAGTATAAATTTTACTATCGTTACCTCAGGGTTTTCACTTAGATATATCTGCTTAGATATGTTGTTTATGGTGCATATCCACTGAAAAAGAGGAAGAAAAAAGAAAATAAATTAATTTGTCATGTTTTCTAAACAAACTCRATTGAATAGCTGAGTTGCTAGTTTCAGCATTTTTTCTTTCTTTGTAAATTCAGGAAGCCACATATTCTGCACACCCAGCTTGTCAATAAATTCACTGCCACCTGCATACTGCCCCTCAGTTTTAGATTTTACCCATAAAAATTATTTTAGTCATACTAAAACTAAACTAAAGAAGGCTTAACTCACAACTCTTGAGGAACTAAAAAAAAACCTCATCCGGATTCTCTACTTCATTATTCTGTGCTGCAGATGACATTGTTTCCTCAATATATTAYAAAAATTCAATTTGCCTTTTGTGGAATTTGCCCCTTGCAATCTAGAATCTGCTTTCTCTCTTTGCTCTGGAAAAYCATCTGTTCCTGTTCCTGACTTTTCAACTTTTCTCTAAAGGAGGAAACTGACTGGAATATATGCAGTATCCAGCTCTGGCTAGGAATGTGTTCTTTCTGTGAAGCAGAAAATCAGGGGGCTCCATGCAAACCTCCTGTAAGCTTACCTCTTCATAATCTTTCCTACTTTCTGCCTGTAAGATTGAAGACCTGAAAGAGAAGAATGGAAATGACAATTTTGTATACTCAAAATGCCTCACATATACAATCATCCAGGAAATCACATTTTCATATTTACACACTGAACAAGAAGCTATGAAAGGCTGAAGATTCTGTTTGTGCTGAGTCCTTTTAATTAGGAAGGGAAGGAACCTATGCTTTCCTTTCAATCAGAAACTGAAAAGCAACAAAATTTTAATTGTGCCCATGTAATACTTAAGTACTCACAAAATTCAATAATACATGATTGTAAACTGGTTATCACAATCTTATTCTGAAATACTTCTCAGCTACATTATAGAKCTTATAAACAAAAATCCAGATATTACAATGTTAAAAGGACATSCCAGATTCTGCTTCTAAACATCCACAAAATATATCAAGCTAACATCTGGCCAAAGGCAGACCATCTTTCTTTTCTTTATTAGTGAGTCCAGTATTTCTTACAGGAAACAGCAATGTAATAGCACTTACTTTTTGCCATCAAAAGATGTTATCTGGAAACAGTACCGCCTGTCCTCACAGTCCACAGCCATCACAGAACAATTGTCTATATCCATGACAAGACCCCCAGCTACATCACCTCTYGCCTGGCTCATCAGATTTCCACCTTGAGTGAAGTAAAACTGTCTCTCCCAACTGGAAGATACCAGCCCTGTCTTACTAAAAGATAAAAAGAGGTCCTCAGTCAGCCTCAATTTTTGCTCAGATACTCTATAATATTAATTGCTACAATTGTGCTCTACCACAGAAATTCATGCTTCATTCAATGAGTATTTTCCTTCAACTGTGGTTGTAAAAGTAAACCTTATTTTTTTTTATTCCCTGGAGCCTATTATGTAAATTACAGTAAAAAAACATGAATGTTACAAATTCTTAAAATAACTCTGAAGAATAAAAATACACTGAAGATTCTTAAAATAACTCTGAAGAACAGCTGCTGGACTTCATTAGAGGCACATTGAGGCTCCCTCTTGTGGACAAGGAGCCACTCTGCACGGAATCCAGAAGATCACTCAAAGGGTGTTTTGGTTAACAGAATGTTTTGCCTTATATATAACAAAATAATAATTTTTATTAATAACTTGGATCCCAAAGCCTTAACATATACTTATAGAAGAATCCCAATAGATGGAACCTGGTTACTTCCCTATTATGATGCAGGGAAATTACACTCTCAAACTTTTCTAACTGTCAAAATTCAGGAAAATTAGATTAAAATCAGGATAATTATGCTTTGCATCTGAATGACATTATACCACTGTAACAATTAATTTAATACTAATTGGGTGAACAAGTCAAAAGAAAGAAACAGAATAGCTCCTATGTGACTTATTCAACTAATTATGTCAAATCAGCCTAACTAACATCTAAAAAAAAAAAAAAAGCTTCTTTAGCTTTCACAAAATTGAATACTCTGGAATGTTAGTCTTACTTTCTTGCATTGAGATAGCCAGCTTTCCGTGTCAGATTCCTGTGAGCAGGAAATTTTGAAGGATCAGGATCAGGCAAATACAGTGGATCACTGGCTACTTCCAAATCCTCTATAGTTTGTTGCATGTTTTCTACTTCACAATCCATTTCCCTGCGAACACTAAGATTAAAAATGTGTTATTAATAAAGATAATTTATTARTAAGTAAAACAGAAAAAATAATTGTCTTGATAAAAGTTCAAAATTCAACAAAGCCAACTTACTTCTGTACACTTGTGCCAATATTGGTCAAAAATTCTTCCAGTTGTTCAGTAAGGTTTTCTGAACCCATTTTAAAAAAGCTTATCTTTAAAATAAAAAGGAGGAAAAGGGAGAATTTAGTCATTGATAAAATTACACTAACAATTAACAGATGAAGCCATTGGAGATTAAAGTTTCTCAGAGAAATCTGTTTCATCCCTCATTCCTACCAAAGCCCCTTAATAAAACGAGCAGAAAGTGTGTTCATGGCTGCAAGTGAAGGCTGCTGMTGGCACTGCAGTGGGATTTGTGTCACCAGGACATGCACAGAGCTGCCTGGAGGAAATACAGAAAAACACAGGAGCTGCCCTGGAAAAAAMCCCAAGGTCTCTCTGTCCTTTTTCAAGGCCTCCACTCTGCTACCTGSTGTTATTTGGGGTTATYTGGGGCACATAAGAGAGAACAAACCTGTGAGGATTTGTCCAGGGCCATCCACAGGGAATGGACAACATGTATTGTAAATACAGGGTAATTCATAATGGGCCAGGAGATCTGACACAGCTAAATTGAGTTTAGCCATGAGAAATCTCAGAACAGGAAGCCACAGGACATGGCCCTGCCCTTCCGTTTCTTAGATTCAGCAAAAAGCTCCACCTAAGCAACAGGTTGCACTAGTCTGCTGCACAAAACATGCAGAGCTTGGTTCTTAAATAGAAGTTGCAAAGTTTCAAAAGAAAGCAAGAGTTCTTGCCTTTGGAAAGCTTTCAGACAGTATGCAAAAGTTAATTTCTACTCAGGTCACTGTGGCAGTAACAGATGCTGGAAAGTTTGACTTACAAAAAGAAACCCCAAACCCCCCATGCTTAGACATACTTCAGAAAATAGAAATTAAGTCTCTCCAAATAACTTCATCATGATTGTATTTTCTGTTGCACCTATCCTCTAATAAACCAATCAAGAACTTACTTATATTCAGCAAAACCAAACCAGAATGTTTTTTAGCATTCTGGCTCTTCCACAGCCTTGATTGAAAACAGCAGTGATGTCACTTTTGAGGATTACCTCATTTCAGAATAGCTGACATAAGAATGACTAACTGTCTCCACATAACTTGATGAGAAGATACACTTCCACGTGGACTTGCCTGCATGAAAGCTCTAATCAGTTCTTCCCATCAGTGGAATCAAGTGCCCAGCAATGAAAATTTAGGCAGTGTATCAAATTCAGCCATCTGGGTTTTGGGGAAGAGTTAATCTTTATATTTGTCACCTAGACTTCCCTAAAGACTCTGATGGGATGAGGGATTTAATATCATGAAGAGATTGCTGCAGTGAGTGGGCAATGACCAGTGTTAGCCAATGGCACAGTCATGGCAGCAGCTGTGCAGCTCAGACAAGTGGTGGGTGGGTCTTTTTCCCCATTTCCTTCCTTGGATTGCAGAAGAGGTCTTGCAATGGATTTCAGTATATCAACCTTCATGAACCACTTCTACGTCTACTTTCAGAATCTGAAATTACCTGAGCTTGCATGTATCCTAGCAAGGGYTCTAGCAGAGAAATTTTCTTTTTGTACTGGAGAGAATTTAACGCACAGAAATAATGCATCATAGTCTGATGCTGTTTTTTCCTTGAAGTATATACATCTTCTGTAACTTCAGCCTTGATCTGAAGAGACACAAAGGGGAGGGGAGAAAAAGGAATGTTTGAGACTTGGCATGGATCACATGCCTTCTGGACAGCTTTATAGCCAGCAAGGAAAAACCCACAGTCACGTTCCACCCTCTATCACCAGCAGCTGCATATTTTACTTTGCAGTTCTGCTGCTGTAATTTATACATGAGATATGTGAAAAACAAATACAGCATTCTTTTCTCCCTGGAAAGGGTGGTTATTTCTTCCCAGAAGCAAATTAGTATGATACCACAATGTTATTCCTAAAGCATTATGAGTGTTACAAGATAGGCATGTACTGGAGAAACCTTTAGATTGCTAAAACATAAACTATTAATGGCAGGTGGAGTCTGCCATACACTGTGATCCATCATAAATATATATAAGACAAAAATTATTTCTCTTCTCTAAAAATCTTTGTATTATTTACAAACCTTTTCATTTTCCCTTCTTTTTGACAACCGACTGTATCTGGTTATGGCAGCATCATGGTCTAAACAATCAAGAGAGAATTTATGATCATTTTTATAAATTCATGACTTATGAAACASAGCAGAAAACCTTTTATATCACTGTGTTACACAGAAAGCTGAATGCAAAGTTCTGTCATATTAACACCTTGAGGAATTGTTCTTATCTGTTTATAATCAATTCACTGCTACCAATACTTGGGCTAAAGAAAAATTGTAACCAGACTCCAATGTCACCAGTTTCCTCAACATCCACTATTCTTCAAAGAAGAACTTTGCATTAAGTAGAGAAACTACATTACAAAAACTTGTGTCTAATCCTTTTTTCTTCCAAGGCAATGAAGCAATTCAGTGAGAGAAGTAGAATCTTACTTAAGTTCTCTACGTGGATATATTAGACATGGGTAAAAAATAACTTCTAACAATAGGGAAGAGAACTATGAAATTCATTTTAGGGAGGTAAAATTTGTTTATTGATCTGGTCCTGACTTTAAGAAGTGAGTTAGCACCTTACTATTTTTCTAATTTTGGTAGCACAATCCTACATTATTTAATAATCATACATACATTTTAAATATGGTAAAAAACCCTGTCAATTTGCTTTAATGCTTCAGCACACAAAGCGGGGATTTACAAGTGCACCARGGAAAGTTGAGTGCCTAAGTACCAGCAAGAAAAATTACACCTTAATTAGTTACTTTAAGCCCACAGGCTTAACTTCATTCAATAAGTACAAGTAATAATCTACAATAATACTGCTGTCTTCTAACATTGATAAGATTAAGTACTTTACACTTACCATTGCTTGCAATTTGGAAAACTTCTTTTAGCGTTAATATCTCTAAAAAAAAGAACAAAAACATATCACAATTTAAGTAAGTTGTTATTAATCTAACAGTCATGTATGACAGTTTCTCATGTAATGTTTCACTACTGAGCAGTTGAAAGTAACACTAGGACCACACTGAGCTACCACATAGGATTCACATGGTCAGGCAAGTCTGCTCCCACCTGGGGCCTGAATATCATTTCTGTGCCTGTCTGGCTTACAAAAAAAAAAAAAATGAACTCTAATATGTAAGGAGGATCTTCTCTTCCATGTTCTTTGAAAGTCAACATCATCACAAATGTTTCACTTGTAATTCCAGTCTGAGTTCTGGTTTGAGCTGGAGAAGTGAAAGCACAGGAGATGGGAAGTATCAAAACCCAACTCACACTCTGACTCCTCCTACCTAAAATCAGCTGTGCTCCAGCTGGTTATTGTCTCACTGTGTCAGGAAATTGTAACCAGCACAATCCCTTACACCTGTTCTGATCTTGGTTGTGGTTTGTGCCATATTACAACATAAACCAGCAGACAGCCATGGTCAACTTTATGGTAAAGCAAATACGAAAGAACAAAAGCTGTCCAGGAAGTGCCTGTGAAGTCCATAAAGAAGTGTGAGGTCATTACAAACTAAACCARCTGGTGGCTGAAAACTTCCAATAGGAAAGCATAATTTGCAATTATTGCCTCAGGGAGGGGATTTGCAATTACTGCCTCTTCAGTGGGGACTAACAGGAGATTTTCCCAGGTTCTGAGGAGTAATATCAGCCTTGGGATATTTATGATCCCTTGCTCAAAGGAAAGRAAAAAGAAGTATTTAATCCATAATTTTGCAGCAAACTATTGCCAAAGAACTATTTTCCAAGATTCATAAAGAGTTAGAATATTTATGAAAGACTCATAATTTTTATTTCAATTTAGACTGAAGATATTCTTATCTTAGGTATACCCACTCTAAAACGCTCACAATAGGGATATTAAAGTTACTTGGGGTTTTGATCTTATAATTTCTACTTGAAGCCTATTTGCCACAGCAGTCTATTCACTCCAGCATCTTGAGTAAAATCTTTCATAATCACATGTTTTTATTACCACTGCTGTTGATAAAAAACAGTATTTGGTCAAATCCTCTACCTTTTAGGTCCCTTTCTTTAAATTGGGTAATAGGAAACATCATTGCATCTGCAAGCTGAGTTGAAAGTACTGCATGGCAAGAGCTGAGCTGAAAAAGACAAGAGAAAGGAGATCTTAGGAAAACAGTGCTGAGACCAAATCAAATCACAACAATAGGTTGACATTAATGTCACTCAAAGATGACATGTACAACTCCAACATATTTTTGCACACTCCTTTTTTTGAAGCTACTTTTTTCTAGGTTTCAGACCTCATCAWTAGGTCTTTATAGAAGACTTTTAGAGTTTAGTTCTTGACTGAACTTTTCCAAGTAACTGGATCATGTCCAAAAATGGCCTCGATACATCCTGACCAGTCAGTTTATTTCTCCAGTTTCCYTCCAGCTACCTCACAGCCCATCTTTCCCAGTTCAAAGGAGTAGAACAAAATGTGATSCTCCTCCTAAAATGCTGTTTAAGTGAGGAGAGCGATCACATCCTGACTCAGCTTTTAATGTGCTCAGAGTTTTCTTTATCAGYCAGGTACCTGAAATCAGGCAATACAGGCACTCTGATGTAACCAGTTGCTAACTGCCACCCTGTAGTGTTTTACTGTATCTATGCTAAGTTAAACTACATTCTTTCTCAGCACTGTATCCTCATTTTGAATTCATTCTTTATCTCCAGGTTACATTAACTTTAAACAGATGTTGCAATGTACAATTAAGCGTTAYCTTGTCGACAGATGAATGCCATTTCTGTACCTCGTGGCTTAAAAAAGGCTGGAATAATTAGGCAAAGTTCAAGTCCATACATGACAACATTAGCAAAGCAAATACAAGCACTTACCTCATCAATCACTTTTGCAAATTGCTGCAGAGTGGAAGTCATGACTTCATCATCTCCCCCGAGTGGAAAACGCTGAAAAGATAAAAAGAGTTATGTTATTTGCAGTGTTTTCTGCCATTCACAAAACTGGATCATCTCTATGAGTATATCAGGTATTCCATTATTTTAAAATATTTTACAGTTAAGATACACCGAAGGAGTTCACCTCATTAGGTGGAATAGGTTAGGGAGCAGCTGGCTCCTAAAAGAAGCAAATTTCTGTTYTTAACATTTTTAACCTCAGAAAGTGGGGCCCAGCAGCAAAACTAAAAATAGAGAACCCATCACAGTACAGRCTGCCATGGATGAAAATTATGGATTCCACAGTCTAAGCTTTCAGAGATGGAATTATTCTCACAGAGTAAACTATGGCTGTTAATTGGAGATTGCAATGCAATCTCTTATTTTTGTGACTATTGAAATTAAAGCACTTAAGGGTAAACATGTTTATAAAGTTAAAATTAAACAGAACCTCCCTAAGCAGTTCCCAAAACAAAGTAAAATATTTCAGAACATATTAATATTTTTCATGGTAAGAGGAACTTCATTCTGGTTTAGCTGGAAGAACTAATATAAAGACAATYGATTATTTTGGCAAAGATTTGAACCACCAGCTACAGCAGTTCATTTTATCTGGACCAAACTTAAATACATTCTACACTGTGCTCGGGGAGAAAAAAGACTACAAAAATACACAGTCCCGACCACACAGAGACAAGAAGGATTTTTATGTAGTACCTGTTTCTCATATTCCTTCAGAAGCTTTGAAGTCAGATGAGTTGCTGCACTTAACTCATTCTGATTTAAAAAAAAAAGGGAAAAAAGCAAAATCAGTAAAAAATTCAAACAGTTAAAGAATATACAATTATAAAAAATGGCCATAAACTCCATTTTTTACAAAAACATACTAAATGGGTTCTGTTTCTGGCATAAAAGTTACTTCTAGATTAGTGAAACATKAATATATTGTGGGTAAAAAATAACCTCCCACTTGATCCATACTATTCTACCCACCAAGATCATTTTAAAGTGTGTAACATTTTAGACACATTTGGGAAACACAATAGAGCTACTAGGAGAACAGAATACCATTTCACTTGTCATAAAAAATTCTGTTGCAAAAAGAATCACAAGAATTTAGTCTTTACCACTCCCTAACATACAGAAAAACAATACTTAMTTCATTTCACTTCTACATTTAAAGAATATGGAAGTTAAAAAAAGCATATTACTCATAATAATGCCAAAAAAAGCAAGATACATGAAATGTGGTTCAAAAGCTTCAGAATGCATTCTAGAATTTCATTAACACTACCTGTGCATCATATATTCTGTGCATGGCTTGAAACAACTGATTGATGTAATTGGATATTGCAGCAGCATCTTCTTCAAACACTCCCAGCAAAGAGCGGGTCTGTAACAATCAAACAGCCAAAATACCAACATGGCAARTTACAAAAGAAGAATTTAAATGTAATGGAATTTCAGACTTAACTAGCATTATTTCAGATTTCATTACTGAAAATTTCATAAACCTTTCTACACTTTTTAAAGGAATACCTGTTGCATGCCAAAGAATCTTACAGATATCCAAGCTCAGCCTTCCTTCTACTGTGTGTTCTTACACTATTCACTCCAGGTTAATACATTTTCAAAATGGGAAGGACCAAGTGAGAGTGACACTGTTAAAAGTTGAAATTGTGGGCAACTACGGGACCCACTATGGTACATCCCTAAGGAGAAGGGTAAACACGACTGGTATTAAACAGCTTGCCAGGTACACACATTTCCTCTGCAGTGAGATCCAAATAAAGGCTGTGGCTTTCCCATACTGTCCATTGTCAACACAGACAGCTGGTGGTGGTGCTTGGATCTATAATTCACCTGTGGSATAACCACCAATTCTGTCATCAAAAGGWTGAAGAACTGAACACCAAAMCMAAACAAACAATACAACCTAGATCTGATTGTCCTCAACATCCATTTCTCTCACCACTGAAAGAGAGTGGAAAGATTTGTCCTTTTGTCCTTACTCCAGCCTGCAGTCTGTTCCTTAGCTAGTGTCACGCACTAACCTGATGACTCTTGTGTCCTATTGTACTGCCTTCATCATGGATGCTTTACAGCATCCACCTCAAAAATCACCCTTTTTATCACTGTCCATGCATTGCACTTAAATACTGATCTCTGTACGTAGGCCCAGCTATCCAGCCTGTTTTTCCACTCAGGTCACAGTCCATACCTCTCCCTTTTGGCCAGAAGAATGTTGCCAGACTGTGTCAGAGTCCTTGCATAAGTCAGGGTGACTGAGATCCCCTGCTCTTCCTTCTACCCAAATGACTGACTTGATGAGAAGGCAATCAGGTTGCTCAGGTATAATTTGCCTGTAAGCTTAAATGAGATGCTGACTACATGTTCTTGCATCCTTTTAGCACTTGAAAGCAAGGTTATTCCTCACCATGAGGATATTGAATGGCTTCCTTCCACCAAGACAAAAATCCCAAAGGGAGAAAAACARAGGAGGTACCAGTAACTCTGCACAGGCTACACTGGCTTTTCCTAAAATGCTGGTTGAGATGCTTGGCTGTAGAACCAGGAGTAGAGCTTGCAAGAGCCACAAAAGAAATGCATTAACAATGTTTTAGGAACAGGACTGTACTGTTTTTAGGTTTACACTAAAATAAATGTCCAGACAGAAAATGGAAAGAATTGTAAGCACATAATTGTTTTTTTCCCCCAAACTATGGTTGTTAAACACTTGAAATTGGAAATTCTATCTCTTAGTCTTCCTTAGGCTGTCTTGAAATCACTGAATTCTTTAGTTCATCTCCCCTTGAAGCATGAAGGTCTTTTTCAGCTACCTCTCTGATTCTTTGCTATTAATGATAATCACAGAACACATATTAAACCTGTATAAAGTACATTATTTGATCATTCTTTTGATGTAAAATTCTTTTATTCAGCTTGCATTATATGCTTGGCTGTATCACAACTATTGTCATGCTATATAATGCCCAAAATATATTTAAATATTAAAAAAATAATCAACACAATAAATAGCGTTAATGCTGCTTCTAGCTTATAAAACAAGTGGAAACAAGTGGAAAACTCAAATCTTTGCCAGGTGTGGCAACATGTGTCATCCTAACAGCCTTGACTCTCCCACTAAAGGAGACATACACGAAAGAATGCAAAAAATTACATGGTACTATAACCACTGAATTATATACTCATGACCTTTAAACCTGAACACAAATAAACCTGAGCTTGAAATTTTAAAGAAGTATCATGWAAGGTTTCTGGATTATACTTACTCTTTAAAACTGAACATTGAAAAAAAGAAAGTACTTCTATGTTTTATTTTACAAATGTTTTACTGATGTTCAGCCTTCAAAATATGATACTGATGGAAAGAAATTAACCTGAAMATGTAAACAAGTTATGGCAGACTTCTCCTTGGCAAAAACTTACAGGAATTGTTTACTTGTGTTTCTAGTAAAACTCGGCATAATTTTGGACGTTCTTTAGGATTCTTTCAACCCATGTATATGAGCAGGCAAACGGAAAAGGACCAGTGAGATGCTGCACAGCGAAACCGCCAGGTTGGAAGTAAGTGTTCAGCCTTCTGTGCCATCACATGGAGGGCACTGCAAGTGACATGAGCCAGAGCCTGTGCTACCAGAGTCTCTTGGCTTTTTTGTTGTGCAAGGCTTTGGGAATGCAAATCAGTGTGAGCAGAAACTCTCTCTAAATACACACTAAGTGTGTGTGGGTAATAGATGTCCTAAGTCAATACKTAAATTGCTCTGTTTTGCAAAGCAAAAGACTCTGTAAACTTGGCATTTGGTTTAGGCCTGACAGCACAGTGGTTAGATTTTTATYCTGTCACAACAGGAAATGAATGGGTTTGGACATTAAAGAAAAACCTTTCCTTTCCTCAGACACAGAATAGGTTTGATATGAAGGTAATTTATCTATAGTTTGTGTCTGAAACACGAACTCCAGGCCATAGTTCAACACTAAGCAATGACCCAGGCTGATGAGCATTGCAATATTCCWGYATGAATGTATTGAGGTCCTGKCAACTCCTCGAAAGAGAGGGTTCTGCTTTCTTCAAGCAACATTTGTTGCCATTTCCACTGCACTCAGTTCAAAGTAACAGAAATTAACAAATGTAACAAACGAACTAATCTGACAGAAAACCACTGAGTGCTTACCTGAGCACCTGACTCACAGAATTCACCTGAAATATTGACTGGCAGATGTAWATTTTCTACCTAAACCAGAAGACAATATTGCCAAATCCAACTGTTAAAGCACCTCAAAGTCTTTSAGCTGAATTAGGCTTTGCTTGTCTSTATCACAAAWAACCTCACATGGAAGATTCACAGTACAAGGACTTGCTGTTGCTACTGCCAGCAAGAGAAATCAGTACAACTGAATAAAGCATTTGCTGCTTCAGAARGAAAACACCAGTGCACTACAGGGCATCGCTGACACAGATCAGGAAWCAGCAATGGAAGAGCAGAATCGGAGCAATGGGAGGCCTCCGGGCACCATGCGCTTCCCACCTACACTCCGCATTAACCACTACCGCGATCACCTCATCCAGTACCAGCTCTTCATACGGTCCATTAAACCTTAACGCAGTTTTAATAAAAAAGAGAAAAAATAGTTTTGAGAAGGGGGTTTTGTGGTCACGAGGTGTCCAAAATCAAGCCTGGGTGCGAAGGCGGGGGTGGGGAGCAGGGAGCCGMTGCCGGCACTGCCCTGACGGCGCTGCCGCAGCCCCCACAGCACCCGAGCCCCGAGCTGCGGCCCCGCTCCCGCTCCCGATCCGCGGCGGTGGCGGGACCAGCGGGGTGACGGCACCGCGGAGCCCCGGGTGGGCATTCGTAGGGTACACCCGGGGCGCAAAGCTCGAGCCGAGAGTGTCGGAGCCCCGCAGAACCATGCAGGCAGCATCCCCGCCGCGCTGCCGGGGCGTCCCCCTCCCTCCCGGCCACCGCCGCGGTTCTCCCGGGGCCGGGAACGACAGGGAAGCAGCGCTGGGCCCGGCGAAGGCGGGCTGGGCCCGAAGCGGCCTCCGCCGCCTCTGTCTCACCTGCGGGCTGTCCTCCAGCGTCTCCTCGATGGGCAGTTTGTCGATGCCAGGCATGGCGGCGGCCGCGCCGAGCCCCCGCGCCTCCGCTCCCCCCKCACCGGCCCGGCCGGACCCGACCCGCGCCGACCCCCGCCCGCTGCGCGCCGGACGTCCCGCCCCCCCGCCTGCCCGGCGTTCCCATTGGCCCATCCGCCCCCTGCGCCGCTGCCCATTGGCTGGCGGGCCCGCCGGTTCGCGCGCAGGCGTGGGGGCTGAGGGCGGGGTCGCTCGCGCGCGGCCCCTCAGGGCGGAGGCTCCGGCGGCGTCCCGGGAGCGGCTCCGTGTGGGGATCGGAGCAGAGGCAGCTCGGGCTGTGTCCGTGTCCCCGCTGAGGTGACTGTCCGGCAGTGCGGGTTAGGGGCATCAAGCTAAGTGTGCTCCCAAACCTGTCTGTGCTCCAGGAGTTGCTGTATTCCCCTCATAAACAGTTGAGTTGGGGGCAGCCCCACAGGGTGGGGGCCCYGTTGGGTCCCTGCCGTGATGGAGCATCTTTGAAACTCTTTCCATGTTATTTGGAGCACCCCTTTTGGGAAGGCTCCTCTTATCCCTGCCATGTGGAGGGGTCCCAGGTGGAAGCCAGTCAGTYCTACCRTGCCTRCAGTGAGAGGACAAGAGACYTTAAATCAAGRCAAGGRAAATTGAGATTAGATATKAGAAAATGGACTCCCTGCTCTCTTAAACTGAGTAAGTGTGGTCCTATATGTTGGTGGCCAATTTAAATGCTTAAAACTACTGTGAGGTCTCGCTGGAGTTGAACCAGATCATTGGTTGAACTTGCAAACTGGGTCGACTCTGAAATTACTTACAATTGTGGAATCACTAAGGATAGAAAAGRCTTCTAAGATTATCGAGTCCAACCCTTAACCCAGCACCCCCGTGTTCACCACTAAATCATGTGCCCAAGTCCCCCATGCCTACACCTTTTGAACACTTCCAGGGACAGTGCTTGTCAGTGCCTGACYGCCATATCCATGAAGAAACTTTTCCCAATATCCAGTCTAAATCTTTCCTGGCACAACCTGAGGCCTTTTCTTCTTGTTCTGTCACTTGTTACCTGGGAGAAGAAACTGCCCCCCACCTGGCTACAACCTCCTTTCAGGTAGTTTAGAAAGCAAGACCCAGTAGGATTCATGATACTTTTAAGCTGGGGAAAAAAAAAAAAAAAGAGGCTCTTAGGCTCTTCCTTTGTACATTTTGTCTTTTTGGGACCAGGTGAACTTAGTATAACATAAGATGAGAAAGCACATGAAGTCATTCAGCAGAACAAATGATTAATGATTGTGCAGTCTTATTACGGAGACCTTGCTTTATTTTGTATCAGGTCATGATTTACTTTTAGAAGCAGATGAAGGATAGGGTTGGTGTGTTAAATGACAAACAATTAAAGATTTTTGAGGGGCTGTTTGTTGGTTTGGACTTTCTGGTAGGTGGTGGGGTTTTTTTGTTGTTTTGGGTTTGTTGTTGTTGTGGGTTTTTTTTTTTTGTTTTTTTTTTTTTTTCCTGTAGGGAGTGGTGAAGAAATTTCCAAACTAATATTCTGTTCAGACAAATCATTTACCAGCTCAGTGGGTGACTCACCTGACTGAAGCAAGTCACATCACCTCTCCCTTTCCCTGTCAGTGAGGGTAGTAATTCAGGGTTGTCTTAAAAGGTATTTTAAAGGCTAAGTCTTGTRCCTGTAGCCTTGTGACAGGACATTAACATTGGTTTATGACCTATAAATATTTRTGCTTTCTAGTTTTGAGCTCAGTTAACTTGTGACTAAGTTTTACAGCAGTCTCCTGTAAGAAAYGGCTCTATTTTGTCAAGTAAGATGYRTTTTCCCAGTGGAATTCAGAAAGGTAGTAACTTTAAGTAGATTGGATTTAGTTAGCTTTGTGTATTTACACAATGCCTTGTAAGTGGCAKCCAAAAGTTTTTCTTGAGCTATAAATTTGACTGCAACAAATGTGATAGTAATGAATTGAAGAATCCCTCGGAATCCTCTAAGGGTGCTTGTAGTGCTGCTCTGTCTTCAGCGTTGTAGGCCTTTTGTTTGTGTGAGGGCTTTTTTGTTGTTGTTTGGACATTTTTATTTGGGGGGTTGTTTGGTTTGGGTTTTTTGGGGGGAGTTGTTGGGTTTTATTTAGTGTTGGTTTTTATTGTCCTTTCTGCAAAATATCTACTAAGAAGCCTTAAAAATGTGGGGAACTAACACTTGGCACTGTCAACAGGGAGAAGAGCAGCAAACAGATCTTTAGAGTGTTCCAGATGTGTGCCCTTATGGAGAGAACATTTTGCCTCTGCTGGAGGGTAAAAGTAGCTGTCTGGATAAGGTAGGCTTTATTTGCAATGTTTCCTACTGTTTAACAGGCTGTTTCTCATGCTTTTGTTAGTGGCAACCTTAAGTTTTATCTTGAATTTACCTGCATTCACTCAGTCTCCTTGTGTCAAAATAGCTTTTACTTGAAACAAGAAACAGTTAACTGCTTGTGTTTTGTAAAAATTGGTGTTATTATTTTGAGTATTCTTGCTTAAAAAAAAACTTGGGAATTTTGAAGTTGACTTTGAATATAATACTTGTTATTGATGTTCAAGACATTTGTAAGAAGGCTTTRTGAAGCACCACTTCTGAGATGGTGAAATACTGCTGAAGGGTAAAGCAGCTGTGGGAAGGGTGACGGGTGACATGAAAGGCAAATTTCTGGAGTGTGATAAGTAATCAAAAARGATAATTATGGCATTTATGCCTTTTAAAAAGCTGAAAATATTACCCAGRCTCTAGTGAAAGGTGACCCAGCAGTGGAGTAGCAATGGGTGAGAAGAACCACAGGCAGCAAGAATAAAGGCTGGAACTTCAGACCAAAGCCCCAAGAGCACTTGGTGTGGTCTCTTCAGCTGGTGTAAGCAGCTCTTGGAGGCTTCACATCTCTAATGAATGAGAGCTTCATCTGCTAAAGACATCACACTGTCCCTGGGCAAAATACAGTGGTGCAAAGTCTGAAAGGGAGATTAGTTTGCTGCCTCATCAAGTATGTGATGCTGTAAGAGGATTGGATTTGCGTTCCAAGGAGCAGAGAGTTTTTCCTATTGTTGATTACTTAGGGTTCTCAACTTAATGTTTGTTGTGTTGCTTTAATTGCCCCTACAAAGGTATTTAGCTACAAGTCTATAGGTAATTTCACATGGGTTGCAAGGTAATATTGGTCATTACTAATGGGCCAAAATAATGAAATACAGGTTTCAARTGAAGACTTAAGGTCTATAAATGATGGCTGGAGCTCAGCTTGCAAGTGATCATTGCAGGTGGATTGATGCTGCTTCATAATCCATTGATATGTGCTGAGAAGTGTSCTTTGTAAAATCACTTCTGGAATTGTCGCTCTTTTTAATAGTAGGGTTTGACAACAATCTTATTGCACAACACAAACGAGAGCAGTAAGAGGGGTAACTTTTTGTCCTGAAATGAAAATACTGTTCTCATTTTTGCATGTTGTTTTTGGACWAATCTTGATGTTATAGTGTCTACAGAGATTCCTCATTTTCTTGTCTGTACCAAAAGCTGTTTTTGAGCATGTGATGTGAACTACTGTGTGACTGAGGGATGAGCTTGAATATAAAAATGTTRTAATTATTTTGCTTTATAGTGGATGAAATCAGAATTCTGTCACACTTTGAGCCCCATTACAAAGCCTTTATCTCTTCTCCCCCCATTTCTCATCTTTTTTTTTGTGATTTTAAATGTTGACTCTGTAGGATTTAAATATACTTCTATTAGCTATAAACCTACAAGAAGGGAGGGACATCTATGAGAAAAAGGATGCTTTTAAACCTGTAAATTTGAATGTACTGCTTATATTATTTGACTTGTGTTTTTATGTTGTGAAGAATTATCAAGAAATTTCACATCTGGTATGTTTCAAAAAGGCTGCAACAAAGTTATTTTAATAAGAAAAAATGAATGCATGAATTATTTAAAATAGTTGGTGCAACTGTTCCTATTAACTAATCCAGGCACTTGGAAGGCAATTACACTGAGCTTTGACAACACTGCCAACCCACTGCACAGTGCCTTATGCCAAAAGCTATTGTTGTTTTATTGACCACGTTCACCATTACATATGCATATGAAAAAACAGAGGCATTTTCATCGGGATTACCCTAATAGCATTAAGAGATTATTTTTTAAATTTCCTTGGAAGGAAATTCACTTAAATGAGATTACTTATTACTTGACTGGTTTCCTATCATGCTTCTATGTTTAGGTAAGTGGAGTCCATTAGAGTATAAAGTTTTTTTAAAAAACTGATTTTATACATTAATGATTTCAAATAAAAGAGAAGTACTATATTTGTGTGCAGCTTCTTTTGAGAAAGTTAAGTCGATGCTCTGGTTAGGAGAGATAACACTTCTTGTCCCCCTTGGTGGCCCCCCTAGTGTCACCATTAGTTGCTAATTACTTGCAAACAAATAAACAATTAACTCCTCGTGCCTCTTGGTGGGAGAGTTTTCATTGACATGCTAAAACTTTCTAATAAAAGATTTTAATTAATGACGTTGCAAATCCAACCCCCTTGTCAACATAGCTATAAGGAGGGCTTGTGGAGAAATGCAAGTACAGTATCCCTGCTATGCTGACTGAGGGCGAAGGCATGGCYAGTCCCTCGCTGTGTGCTGCTAACACAGCAGCCTCCCAGGATCTGCACAAAGTGTCCGGCTTTGCAGAGAATAAAACCACACAGTGCTCCTTTTCAATTGAGAGTATATTGGGACTGGAGCAAAAAAAAGATGRCATTCCAGCTGGGAAACCTCACAGACCCTGGATGGATGCATGCCCCAGCTTGGGTAAGTCAGTCCGTTTTGTAACCTCTCAAGATTTTAAAAATACTGACGTATTTCTACTGCAAACCAGTAAATTAAAGCTCTCCTTTGCTTGCGTTTTCTAGTTTTAGGTGATGACAGTAATCCCCATCTGCAAATCCCTGTTGTTTGCTATGAAAATCCATTATTTCATGCTAAAAGTGATCCAGTGCAAGACGAAAAAGTTTTGAAATGTGAAAAATATTTTTCAGTCACTGAACGGCTGTCTTTCAAACGAGAATTGAGCTGGTACAGGGGTAGAAGACCAAGAACTGCATTCACTAGAAACCAGGTAGGGCTTTCCTCAGTATTTAACAAATGAGTAACAATGCAGTTTAGTAAAGTGTTGGAAGAAACCTGTAAAAATTGATTAATATTCAGTGTGATATATCTCTGCAGAGAGAAATGTAATCAGGAACTAGTGTAAATTAACAGGTATGTTGCTAATTTCAGCAAACCTGTGTTTATGCATGGAATCAGAATTGTGCAAACACTGATCAGAAGTCTGCTATTGAACCAACTAAACTGTTATTTATTTTGTGTGTTACTGCTATGAACATAATGACAGCTATTCAACAAGTGTGTTTTAATCTCCTCAGATTGAAGTCTTGGAAAATGTTTTTAAAATGAACTCSTACCCCGGCATTGATATTAGAGAAGAGTTAGCCCGCAAATTAGATTTAGATGAAGACAGGATCCAGGTAATTAAAAACTTACTTGAACTTTTCTGTAATTCCAGCTATATGTACTCTCTCGTTACATAAGTAAGTAGTTTGACAGCAGTAGTAACAATGTTAATACTCTCAATTTAAATCGATTTATATATATGTAATATTCATTCAGTGATTTTTGCAATGGAAACCACTGAATTCATTCTGAAATCTAAAGCCTTCCATAGCATTGATGAGGTATTGTCACTATAATATTTCTATAATACCTGCTCTGTTCATCTCTTATTGCTCTGTTATTATGTGCAGAACTTGATTATTTACTTAAAATAATATTTATATTTTTCTTGTCACTGTATTTTAAAAACAAATTTGAAACAGATATTGACATAATTTGTGTGACTGCCTATGTATCTTGCGAGACTGCCAACAGAGCATAGGTGGGTTGAACCAGTGTTGAACCTATGTCTTTATCTGGCCAAAAGCAAAATCTGCTCAGGTATATTAATTMTTGATTTCCACATAGTCCAATGTGATAAGAAGCATAATGTAAACATTAGAATKTGGGCTTTGCTTTGTTGTTTATCACGCCCTGATGCAAGTATTATATTCAGCTTAATGAGACTCTTGATGTTGCAAGTAGCTAGGCAGCTGAAGAAATAGCACCATAAGATGTGTGTGAATTCCAGAAGTTCAGGATCTTCCAGGGTMTGATTCTGTCACTGAATTTAATACCAGTTTTTATATTAATTGCAGTGACGCTGATTCTCACTTTCCAGTTAAGCTGGGGATATTATTTTTTTTTGTGATGTTAGAATTACAGCAGATAACTACATGCTATCATCTGCAGATTTTGAATTTACATTGAACTTGCAAGCTGCTGTCATCACACAAAATACTGTAATGCTGTATGAATACTTTCAAATTTCAAATATTATTCTGTTTCCACTACTGTATTTCTGAAAAGTATCCCTTCTCTTTCCATTTTAGATCTGGTTCCAGAACCGTCGTGCAAAGCTGAAAAGATCACACAGAGAATCTCAGTTTCTAATGGTGAAAAATACTTTCACCTCCAGTCTGCTAGAGTAGAAGGAAGGAATGGGTTGCTGTTACAGTAATGCAAGAAAGAATGAAGAATTATTCATAACCTGTATTAAGTAATGATATAGTAATTATGATTTTATGCCCAGATTTGAAAATTTATTATTATTTTCATTCAAATAAACTGTAAATACTTGAAGTATTATTATAATCTACTTTTTGTGGAAAAAGTGAACTTTTCCTATATATTTGAGTAAGTATTTTCAGAGAAGCTCAGATATTTTTGCAGTTTAAAAAAACGGAAACCCTACATTGCACAAGATTTTCAGCTACTATGAATTACTGCAGATGACTTGACAAAGCTTGATGGTTTTAGAAGTCTGTTTCAAGTCTGAAATACACAATATGCAAAATGGATTTTGCTACTGGAAACAGTTTGTCACACTGGAGTTTAAATATCTCATTTATAAATAATATGATAGTTTTCATAAAGAACACAATTTTTTAAAAAAGGTGTCTCAAATGGAAGGACTAATATTAAACTGACTTCAGTTTGAATAATTGCTCAGTTAAMAGAAGCTGACAATTATAATATTTTTATATAATTTTAATTAATTTAGGTTATTTGCCTATTTAATTGTCTAACTTGGTTATCTCCTCTCTTGTCAGCATAAGTGTTCCAGTTATGGAGGTTGTCCTATTATCTTTTAATGACAGAACATAGTATTTCATGGGATCAAATCAGTAGGGACCAAACCAGATATCCAGATCATTGCCATTAATTTTGGTGTGTTGAATTAATTTTCATCAAACACTACATGAAAGTTAATTATCCTGGTAYTTGATACTCAGCCTGAAGTCAAGGAGAGCCTAATATGAAGAAAATCCACCCAACTCTTCATGGCCATAATGCAGGAAAACATTGTAAGTACAGGTTTATGCTGTTCTTTGTTAGCGAGCTCTAAGCACTTGTCTGAAGTGCTGGTGCCTTTCAGTGAGACTTCAGACTGTGTTTCTTGCTAGACATAAATTCTACATTATTTCATGAACAGACACAATATTGTTCTTCTTTTCTTGATGCTTATATCCATGTCTGTTGTGCAATAGGATGAAAGGTAAATTGAGAAAATGGGGTGACAAAAAAAATAATTTTATGTAGTCTCATAATAGGAAAAGCTAAAGGGAAAGATCATCTGACAGTTCTTACTTAGTATTTTGAATGATAGTTTGAGGTATGAGAGTTGAAATAAAAAACATTTCTATGTCTTCTGGAAAATACTGAAAAACTGCATTACTTTAAAACTGGGCTACAGATTCTGGCCCTTCTGTGTTTCTAATTTAATTGCTCACTGCCTTCACTTTTATACAGMATCCTAAAAATCTCGAATTGTTTGACTTTGCTCCTGGAAATCTGATTTTAATATGAAAAGAGCAAACTTCTATCCAGTATTGAAATGTTAATTTTTTGTGCTTTGTTGGATTTGGGAAGTAGCATTCCTAACTGAACTTCTGTTCTATCCTGCATTCCAAAATAATTACTAGAATATTCACAAGTAAAGCAACTAAACTGAGCCAGATCCATTAGGAATAGTTTTTAGAGAAATTGAAATCTCAATTCAGATACCTGCCTGGTAAAGGCAAGGACAATATTGGGAATGCATTCTTCTATTTGCTTTTCTTCACACCTTCACACCATAGCTTAACCTTATTGCAGGTAATCTGAAACTATTGTCTACTTTACTGCTGGAAACAAGGGTTCCAGCAGCAGCAGATTAGACTAATCTGTACAGACTGATTGCCTAAGAACCTTACTCTATTATCTGGCAAATACCTAAATACACCTAATGTCTGCTATAATGGAACTTGTCTCAAGTGACGGAAGTCTGACAAAGCAATTTAAGAGAAGCAGTAGAATAGTAGCAGAATAATAATAGCACCAGTCCCAGTATCCTGCTCTCCATTAGCAAACGTTACCAGCAGGATCATTGRTGTGATGTACTAAGAGTGTCCCACACAGCGCTAAGGGGAAAAGAATTTGAAAGCAGAGTTGGGTTATTTGCTTCATTTGGCTTGGCTTRCTCTTCCCTTCATCAGCAAGTCAGAAAAGAATCTCTCACTTTACATTGATACCTACTTTGACCAGCATAGCTTTAAATTGTGCCTATCATTTTCTCAAATACAGCTGGATTTTTTTTTCCACCTTGAGAAGCATTAGTCTGGACCTCCCAGGGTCTTTGTGTTGTAGTTGCTGGCAATGTGCAGGGCTCCCTCGGCAACGTGTGTGACATGTTCGGTTACCTGTGCAAGAATCCAGCCTTGCTCCAGGTTTGCATGCCTTACCATGCAGTGTTTCTGTTTGTATCTCTACCCTTTAGAATGCAGAAAAGTCTTAATCTTTTTTCTAGTTCTGGCTTAAGCTCATGAAGCTACATCCTTCCAGCCACATTGCCTTGCTTTGGCTCCAGTGATCATTTGACCCTTGTGATAAGCTGAGACATCGACTAAGATGATGAAAAACTGTTCTAGCAAAAAACCCTCTTAAAATGACCAAGCTGTCACGTCAAAAGCCATCAATAGCTGCAATTTAGGCTCGGGCAGGTTGATACTGGGCCTCGATCTCTGACTGTAATGGGGCTTAAATATTCTAGTAGTGTTTTCCTGAAATAGGTCCAGTGCCCGTGACCTTAATTGGGATGCTGGGCTGCATAATAATTTGTATTGAATTGATATTCTTGAGAACACAATGAGTATACTCTATCACTCTTTTCCTGAATCTTGTGCAATTTTGTGCTAAAAGGACAAAAGCAGGCAGGTGGTGTAAGATAGTTCCCTTCATTAACAATTATCTATGTCATTAGCCTTGTTATTAATCACTATAAAGTTTAGGGAATTTGCAATTTTTAAATTGCATAAGTTTCAAACCCATTATCTCATTGTGACCTTTCAAAAGAAAATCTATAACCTTGCAGCAATTCAATTATTATACCTTCTTTTTSTCTGATTCTTTCTTTCTCCCTTAGCACTGAGTTTTTATTCTACCAGTCCATGACATTTTACTGCTTCTAAGATTTTAGGTGCCTGTCCACAGTTTCTAGATTCTGGGGCAGTCTCTTGTCTGTATAACCACATTATGTTTTAGATATTAAATGAAAATGAATATATATGTTTTAATGATGGATTTCACACCTTTAATCTTCAGAATTTTATTGTATGGGCTATAGTAATATTCCAAAATATTCAGTTTCTATGAATGATGCCATATTAAGTAAAATAAGAGGAAATTATGGAAATTAAAATTTCTGTATTAAGACAGGCTTTAAAGTCATAAAATTATGGAAATTAAAATTTCTGTATTAAGACAGGCTTTAAAGTCATAAATTTTGCAAGTTTTAGTCAGTATTTAAACTGCCTAGAAAAGTGCTGGGCTGCTTCTGTCCTCTGGTGGCTGAATTTTKTAATGACAGCCCCACCTGTTCCTGAGGATTTCATTCCTCAGTCTGGAGAGGGGCCCTGGGCACAGGATGATCGCAGGGGTTGACTGATCCTTCCAATTTACACAGCGCTTGTGACCGAAATTATATTCTGCAGGCATACAAAAGTGCTTGATGTCAGGCCTGATTTTCAAAAGCTCTGAGTGCTCAATATTGAACAGAAACTAGAGATGTGGGTGCTTAGTTGTTTTGATACTCTGGACAGCCAACCTTTTAAAATTTTGTCTCTAAATGAATTTAGGCTGCTGTCATGAGTATGTGTCTATAAGACTGCCTAGCACTGTCAGTTTATGGTAGGAGAATATTTTCACATTCCAGAAAGGAATTGTCAGGAAGAATTTCTTCACTAAAAGGGTTATTAAACATTGGAACAGGCTGCCCAGGGAGATGGTGGAATTGCCATCCCAGGACATGATCCAGGAACCACTGGGGGTGGCCTTTAGTGCAATGGTCTGCTTGACAGTGTGGAGATTGGTCAAGGGTTGGACTCGGTCTTAGAGGTCTTTTGTGAGCTAGATATTTCTGTGAAAGCTTTTGGCAAAGTATTCTGCAGTTCTAAAATAACACCACTTATTATGGTGTAAAACTTAGAATGACTTCTGATAAATACCTACTAATATAATTCTTCTGGGATAATAAATACAGTGTTGTCAACGAAAATGTTTGCCAGGCAGAAAAATTTATTGCCATCAGGATTTTAATTTTTCATTGTTTCATCACATTAGAAGGATAAGAAACTTGTGCTGTTTAAATACTGTGCAATTCTTAACCATTCTTACTGCGTTTCAAAGCGTTTAAGGCAAAACATTAAAAAATATGATAGTATMCACTTTAATTCCTGTCATGATTGAAATATTTGTAGGATTCTGTCACTTCAGACTTGCAGAGTTGTTCTGGTTGTGGCTATCTGACAATATTACTGCAGTTTGCTCTAATTCATTTTGGTGCAGAAAGGAAGTCAGAGGGAAGCATTCCCAGGAGGCATCAGCAATGTCCTTAGAATGCTGTTAGCTATAGCTAGAGACTTTGGTAAAATTTAAGTTGGTTATGTTGAAAATCTTTTCTTGAGGATGTTTTTGTTTAAATGAGAAAACTGATTTAATCTTTTCCTTCTTTACTCTGTAACCATGTGATCCTGGGCAGTCAGTATTATTGCAAATTACAGTTTAGGAGGAGTGGTATTTTCAGTGGATGCTACTATTATAATCTAACTAGAAAGGAATGATAATGATCTATTGTAACTTACCGTATTAACAGGCTTTAACTTTCCATGGAGTCTTGACAAATCTTGTTCCCAGAATTTGATCAGTCTGTTATTATCTGCATAGTTATCTTCCTCTTTCCAAAAATAAGCATCTAACTCAATCCTGATATCCAACTGCTTCAAATTTGTGTTTTAAAATAATATGCCAGACTGTATAAAAAGAACACAGAGTTTGTTTGTTTGAGAGGTAGAGCTGCCAGCAACAACTGTCATTCCTAACAGGGCCKTTCCTCTGTTTTTTTTTTGTTTTTTTTTAGCCTAGTAATGTAGGATTGCTGTGCATTATTTAGTAAATCTGTTACAAAGTTTTTTAAAGTTACACTAGAATATTTTGGGGAATATCTATCATATAAACAAAAAATGCATTTTCCATATGCCTCTAGCCCTTGTATTTTGTTTTGTTTGTGTGTTTCCCTTTGTGGGAGTAGAATGAGGTGTTATTGACAAAGGGCTTTCCAATCTTCTTCCACAATGGTTGCA